TTCTCGTTTCTTGTCTGGTTTGGATTGCAGTCCGGATGATACTCCTTGGGATGGAGGTCAGTTAATCCTTGTACTGAAGCTTTTGATTATGTTAATGCGTTTCAGACGTGGGATATTCTGATCTAAGTTTTACATTCTAGAATGAAGATGAACAGCATGTACAATAGTTATGTTATGCTTTAGTTAAAATAGCGATTCCAAAGTGTTTCCTTTTCTTTTGTAAAGGATTTTATATCTTCTTCTTGAAGAAATAATTAGATTGCAGTCCGATGGATTCCTTATTTCACTAAGTTCCTAAAATTTTCTTACTTTCTAATACCAAATTCTGAAAACCAGAACCTGAATATTGAGTAAATAACTAAAAGCTTTCCTCCTTTGTTTCTGTCATGTATTTTGCCCATTGATGTGACCACGGTATGCATGTTTCTGTTAAATAACCTTAACTTTGTTAATATGTACATTTAAGAACTCTCTGTTGGAGTAATACAGGCACGTTTAAGTTGACCCTTCAGTTTACAGAGGATTACCCAAACAAACCACCGACAGTCCGATTTGTTTCTCGAATGTTTCATCCAAATAGTAAGTTGGATTATGCATGTCTTGACATCACAATTTTCTGCATGTTAAGCATTTCTCCTCTGGTTTCTGAATTCAATTTTTCTTTCAAATTTGGTCAGTTTATGCAGATGGAAGTATTTGTTTGGATATTTTACAGAATCAGTGGAGTCCTATATATGATGTGGCAGCTATACTCACGTCTATTCAGGTATGGTTGAATTGTGTGGATAAGATTTTTGTTCCTTGCTTATATTTATGAATTTTCATAGGATGTAGCAAAGGTGTGTCGCCTATAGCATACATTTGACTTAGAACTTAAAGAAACATCGTATTGGGGAGGTTAAAGTTTTGCTTCTACACCTTAGGGTCTCAAGGAAGGCTAGTACGTTTATCTTTATTCCAGTACAGTGTGGAATTTTATATGTCTATACTACAAATGTAGCTGCACATGCCAATGAAGGCATGTAGGTATTTTGATGTAGACCAATTATGAATGGAAATAGTGATGTATGTGTTGAGAAACTTTTAGTGTGTTGAGAAACTTTTAGTGTGCTGAACACCAACAATCTGAGAAGACCCTAACATCTACCATTTTGTTATTGCAGTCACTACTATGTGATCCCAACCCAAACTCTCCTGCAAATTCAGAAGCTGCTCGCATGTTTAGCGAGAACAAGCGTGAGTACAACCGAAGAGTGAGAGAAATCGTGGAACAGAGTTGGACAGCAGACTAACTCCTTCACATGGGAGCTTGTAGGACAGTCGGAATTTGTTCAAAGGCATTTTATGAGTAGCATTTCTAGCTACTGCGAGAATCGTTGTGCCAACTTATCAACATTTATCCTGTATTTCAATGTTTTATTCCCAAATTATGACGCTTAGGATTTGCTTTGTCTTAAGATATGTCTTGCCAGCTGCCACATTGCATTCTTAGTTAAGCTCTTGTAAAATAGTGTTGTGTATCAATTTGCATTGGTTTGTTATGAACTTGGATGTTCGGTATTTGAAATGAAAGTTAGTAGTTTACTACAAAAGCAGAAATTTTCGGTCCTTAATTTTTATCTCAATCGAGTAGATTGCCACTTAGCAGCTGGATCAAGGAATTGGGCTCATAATTAGTAGACTTATTACAATTTGCCTCTACTTCTTTGCTAGTGTGCTTGAAGAACTATGGGGGTAGGTGGGTTTAAATTTTAGTACATATTGGTGCACTAATTTGAGTGTAAAATAAAACCAGTTGTAATGTCATCCAAGGTGTCGTAATCACTATAAGGTTACTTAGAGAACATGAAAATCAGAAATTATCGCACAAATTAACAAACAATTAGATTTGACTATAAAACCTTCGGACAATGACCAGTCTTTTAGTCGAAGGCCCTGATTTACATGCTGCTCTGGGCTCACATTAGAAGCTCCTACTTCTCCTAGTCGTATAAGGTTGCCTATAGGGGTGGGCATCTAAAATCGAAATACCAAAACCGTACATTAATCATACCGTAACACACCGATTTCATACAATTTCATTTGGAATTGGGAGATAATCGGTACCGTACAGTACCGTATCAATAGAGTATGGTATGGTAACGATATCAAGTATTTGGTACTGATCAATACCGTACCGTAACGAAATATAAACATTTTCAAATAGAATAGTTGTTGTGATGAATTGTGAGGGAAGGAAGGAGATTTTCCAAAGTCCCATTTTGCAAATTTGTATAGATAAAAAAGAAGAATTTCTAGAGGCTGCTGGGGATTTGGGTAGCTGTTGTTTACTTTCTTTGATCAATGTCTATGAATTGTAATTTTCTTTTTGCATCTTTTGTCAAATTTTCTCAAATAATCATATCTGTAAGTTCATTTTCATGGCTTAATTAATGTAAATTTCATTTCCTCAATCTTTGTTTTCCCCATTTCTGCAATTGAGTTGGGTTTTTTTCCCCCATAATTAATGTCTTGCACATATAAGAAACTGTTGTAATTTAATTTGGGTAGCGAACATTATGATGAAAAAAGTTGTATTTGTCTTCAAGCCTCAGTATGAAGCTTTGGATTCTCAGGGCATATCATATGAATGAATTATGAAATTTAGTAGCTATTTTTATTGTCTTATTCATTTCGTCTTGCATTTTTTAGTTGTATCATTTTGGTACCGAAATGATATCAATATCGTACCGATATCGATACCGTACTGATATCGATACTGTACCGATATCGATTTGGCATGGTATGATAAGGTACCAACTTTGGCAAACGATAATCTCATACCGTACTATACCGGTTTTAATTTCCGGTATCGGTAGCGGTACGAGCTCAATACCGTACTGTACCGTACCGTGCCCACCCCTAGTTGCCTATCATTTATTGATTATGCAAAAGAGAATTAATTAAAGCACGTCACTATGAACCTTAATTTTCCTAGTTGTATAATAAAACTTTCTAATTCTCGAACTGACTTATCATTATTTTTTATTTCCTACTTGAGGCTTAAGTTTTCTGATCATACGGGAAACTTCCCAAACAAGTAGTAACACATAACCCACTACGAGGGTCGCTCACTCACTCCTTCTCCTTGTAGAATTAGGAAATCCCCTGTATCAGTATATATTTGAGGAGAGAGAGAGGGTGAACTTCACACTGCCCATTTCCATTACCTAGCTATACGTTGCTTTTCTCTTCTCCACAGAACCCTAAACCTTAATCATACTGACCAACATGTTGGTCGATCTTGGCTACGAAGCTCGTCCTCTCGACTTCCCATGGCTCATGCTGCCCGACAACCACCACCACAACGCTGGCGACGACAATGAAGCTTACCACAACCAAGACCTGAAGTGTTTTTTCAGTCTTTACACTCATCAAATCCACTGTCTTGAACTGCCTGAGGCTTATGAAAAGACTGTATGTGGATCATCATCAGGCTGGCTAATTTTGCGACATGAAACCACATCAGCCGTTACCCTGCTCAACCCTCTCAACCGCGCCCAAATTGCTCTACCCCAACTCTCTTCTTCTCCATTCTATGATCAAGACCCTTTACCTGTTCTTCACAAAGCTATACTGTCTTCAGACCCTTGTCGCTACCCGTTCGACTACAAAGTTTTGGCGATTTTTGGGCAGAAGCGAAGGCTCATATGCTACAAAGCAAGGGACAGGACTTGGACCATGATACAAGATGCAGGGGTTCATTATGAAGACATTCTTTCCATGGGCAACGAGTTGCTTGCCACTGATGAGGTTGGGAGGCTTGTGTCTTGCAATCTTGATGGCGATTGGTTTTGGTTTCCACCAAATGTTGAAGAAATTTCTGACCCTTTTTTCTTTAAAGGAGGCAAAGTTTATCTTGTGGGCATAGAAGGAGAGCTGGTTATGCTGATAAGGTTTGTGCAGGAAAACTCTAGTTTTGGCCAAGAGACATATGACTTTGAAGTTTACAGGTACGATTCTATGGAAAGCATTTGGGAACCCATCAGCAACTTAGGTTCATGGACAATTCTCTTGGGACATAACCAGTCTACCGCCATTGAAGCTCGGCAATTTAAGGGGCTGATAAAACCCAACTGCATCTACTTCACTGATGATAGTTTGGAGGAGGATAGTTTGCTGGTTGGCCATGACTCTGGTGTTTTTAGCATGGAAGATGGTAAAGTTGAGCCACTGAGATGTATTTCACATGATTTCATGTATGTTTGGCCACGCCCAGTTTGGTATATGCCTAGTTTTGCTTGAATCATGGATTAAATGTAGAACTTTGGAAATCAATGAGAGCATGGATTTGAAAAGAGTGCTTTTATTTTGTGATAAATTTTGTTTTGGCTTTTCTTTTTTCTGTTCTGTTTATAACTTAATTTGGCTGAGCTCGCTTTCAATTTCCGTTCCCCTAAAGACCTAATTTGAATTGAACCATGTTTGATTTCCTGGTAACTGGCAAGGTTACCATGGTGCCACAATGTTCTGTTTTTAGATTCAATTTTTATTTTGAGATTTAATAAAACCTCAATTTTTATCTCAAGCTACTCCAAATGCGTCCCTTGGAAACCAATCTAAAATATAATCCAAATGATTGTGTCAAAAACAGGTTATGCTTCAGATAAAATGAAATCACGGATTATATTTCAGATAGTTAAAATAAAAAAAGAAAACAGATCATGGCAGAAAAAGAGTACATAGTTACATGATTACAACAAACACTTTACTTCAATGGTTCAGCACAATTGGCATCAACAGGAAATTGTATAACAATAAGAAAACAAGCTTGGTTTGATCAAACAAAAGACAAATGAAATGGTTTTAACTTAGACTGAAATTTGACCCAAAAAAAGAAACTTAGACTGAAAAACTTAGACCTGAAACCTTCTTTACATAGGAACTTATCCCCACAAAAAAACATTGAAGACAAACCCAACAAGAATATGAAAATGAAATTGTTCTGGCATTCTGTATTTTTACACGACTTCAGCAGTCAAACTGACATCTTCCATTGGTGGAGCATCCTGCAATAGACAAATAAAGATCTTTGCTCACAAAACAAGACACATCAAACATCTTTTTTCTCAAGACCACAAGAAGCAGCTTGACATTAGAGAAGCTAAACGAAAGTTTAACGAAAAAGGCAATGGATTCTGAAAGACTAATTCACCTCATTTTCTTTGTTCTCATGAAGTGCTTCTTGCCCTGCAGGAGTAGTGCTAACTGAGCCTGTAAAAACATTGGACCATAAAATAATGTCACATGAAACGTAACAAGAAAAGATGATTGCACATAGAACATATGCAAAGAAATACAGGTGAAATCATTTGACACAGTTGCCTTTCTCACCAGCAGATTTATCCCCCTGCTTCTTAGTCCTGTCTTTCACTTTGTTAGATTCTTGCTTGCTTGGCTTTTGGGGTTTCTTTGCAGTTGGCCCACGAGCCCCATTGTCAGAAACAGGTCCTGAATTTGAAGAAGTCTTCACTAAAGATCCTCTAGTCTTGGTTGCAGGAATGCTTTTCTGAGCAATCTCCTTCTTGGCTGAGGCCTTGACTGGAGAAACTGGAGCAGCATCAGTGTTCAACGACTTGGGTTTTAATTTCCTAGTTCCCATTGTAGAAGAACAGCTCTTGACATCATCATCAGAAGATCGAGTGCCCTCATCAGGTACCTGAGAACAGGTTTCGGAGACCTGCAACTGCTCCCTTTCTACATTGCTTTTGCTTTCCAATAATTCCTTCAGAGGATCTTCAAGGTCATCAAGGTTGTGACGGACCACATACGATTTTAGCTCATCTCGCATTCGATGAAGAGGCTGAGTTTGACATTATATGAAACAAATAAAAAGGGGGACACAATATAATTTAAAGTTCAGTCCTTTGACACGTTAAAAGAAATGAACTAGAGTGTTCATGGCCTTGAAGGTGTGAAATCACTGAAATGGAAAATAGAAAGATGGGATACATGAATTGTACCTCACATCCAGCCTCCAAGGCTAGTTTGAAAAGTCCAAGTGAAATTGAGTGCTTGCCAGCAGCCTCAGACAGCTTAATCTGTGTCAGCCAGTATGATGCTGAGGAGAGGACACTGAACTTCTTCCGGCTTGTAGACTTAGAAACATCAGAAGCAGGTGTCTCACTTTTCACAGACCTCCTTGATCTGGCCTCAGAAATTGGGGTGATGTTGCCAAGAAATTTTGGAGCTGGAGTGCCAGCCGGTTTGGGAGGATTGGAAAGCCTTCTGGGTGGCTTGGCAGGCTTGTCCTTGCCAGAGAGATCAAGAACACCCATACTTTTACTTAGAGTTGATGCAGGTTTTCCCCTAAAAAAAAGTAGACATCCCATACAGAATTCAACCAATTGACTCTGCTTTCTAAGCAGTAAAACTTTGCATATGCAGATAACAAACAAGCATGGGAGAAAACTATAGCTTACAGGTCAATTTTATTATTAACCCTAAAGACCGAAAATGTAACCCTACCCTCTATAAATTCTTTATGGAAATAATTCGCAACAACAACAACAAATTTTTTTTATTTTTCCCCTAAATCAATTGATACTGCTAATATTTACACGATATTACTCAAATTATGGGAATTGGTTCATGTAACATACCCAAATTTTACCATAATTTGATCTTTCCCCCAATAATTAGAACAATTGAATGGCTCAGCACACCCTCATAACATGTAAACCAAATCATCCCAACAAACAGATTCTTATTGCAAGTGAAATCATATCAACAATTAGCCCAATCACATCTCAGCATCATCAAGTCATACCTCTTCGACGCAGAATTGTTAGTCGACTCGGCGGCGACCGGAGGCTTCTCCTCCTTGGACTTAGACCCCGATCGGAGCGCATACCGAAGAAGCTTTCCTGAAACACACAAAACCAAACCCCCCAATTTCACACCAATTTTCACAAACACACCCACAAAAAACAAACAAAAAACAAAACTTTTGAAATTACCAGATTGAGCAGACTGGGAGTCCTCCATTTGATTGATCGATTGCTTTAGTTCTTGTTCTTGTTCCTCTTCCTCCTTCCCTTGTGTAAAGAACAATGAATTAGAGGCTGGCTTTTATATTCATTTTCCTTTTTCAAAATTTTCTTGTTTTTTTTTCCTATAATCATTGGGCGGGAAACTGTAGGAATACCCCACAACACAACTCAAATTTCACCAAACGCGCCGTAATGATAAAATCTCTCCTACTCGCATTCTGATGTGCGCAGGTCCAGATCATTATCCACGTGTGAGATTTTGGTTCGTTTGCCGTAGATTCAGTCAGCGAGACTTCCGTTTTGAGTTACGTTCGCAATTTTGATATGGTGGGATGGAGCGGACATGATTGCGAAAGAAGTGGACGCGTGGAGGACGTATGTGCTTGATGATCCCTTCAACGGCTGGCGCTGCATGGGACCCACGGCTTCATATATTAGAAGATATAATTCGAATTTCAAATTTCAAATCGTGTGCCGTTAAAACTGCTTTTACGGTTGTGATGAGATGGTCGAGAAGGTGGTTTTTAACTTTTTTTTTTCTCTGTCTCCAAGCCAAAAAAAGAAAGAAAATATCATGTTTTTCTTTGCTTTGGGCCGGACTTGCTTTTTTTAATGGGCTTGCCATGAACTGATGCACCCACTTCCATGGCCCATTGGGCCAACATGAAACATGTAGTCGTCATGTGTATTGATTTGGAATAAGTCATTTTACAGTGAGGGCCCCATATATGGCCCTTAAGTGAGACTATCTCTTAATTATTAGATCAAATTGATTAGTTTAATCCAACAATTAAGAAATAAAACCTTATCTAAGGGCCATATATAAAGCCCTCACTATAGAATGACTCACGTAGCTTCATACATGTCTTTCCTAGTCATTTGTTGCCACTGCTTCCAAACCTTTTGCCACCGCCAAATCCCCATCCAACACTTGCTCCGCCACCACCACCGAAACCAACCGCTCTCCCAACACTACCACCATTATTGTGACCACCTAGAACCACCACCATCACTCAAACCAGAACCACGACCAGAGCAATTTTTAGGATCCCCAAAAGAACCCTTTTCACTACCAAGCTTCCTTGCATCACTAGCGAAAATGAAAGCACAAAAACGAAGCTTAGGAATTATCTTAAGATGACTTTGGTTATTGTCGGTGAACTCTAAAGTCCTAATATATATAGGTGATTTGGTTCGGCATGGTTTTGGCATACTTGCAATATACATAGCATTGATTGTGATTGTTGTGTTGGTAGATGACATATACTGAAAAAAATATTTTGTCACATGGGATTGGTACAACCATAAACCAAAAAATAAAATAAAAAAAATCCCAACAACAACCTGTAAATATAAATAGGATTGTAAATTAATTAACATTACATCTTACTCAAGTAAAGATTATGTCAAAATTAGATTTCTTGATGCTAATGATTCTCTGTATTAGTTACCAACAAACTTGTACGAAATGAAGAGATTTTTGGTCTGATTTTTTCTTGTTTGTTTTTTCATTTGTTGGTGTTGGTGACGACAATCGAACGGGTAGTCTTGGTCTTGGTGTTGGTGACCACAATCAAACGACCCAAGTCATCACACTCCTCCCTCCTTCACCTCTTTGCCTCCTACCAATCCTACGGCTATGATCCCTCCACGCGCGAATTCGCGCCTCGGATTCAATTTTCAGTTGTGAGGGCATAACCGTATTTGCCTCTCATGCTTCGGAATAAATAAAGACGCTGCACCTTGGTTCCGAAGTCACTGGCTAACTGCACTTGGGACTGCCAACACATCCTCCTTTATGTCGACCCAACAATCGTCTACACTCGCGTCCATCGTAATCTTTCCTGTATAGCCGTTCACTTAGAATACTACTTGAAACCCAAGTTATCAGTCAACACATTTGAAAATATTCAATTCAGCTGGCCAGTAATGAGTGGCTCTCAGATTTGTTAGCCTACACCTCTCTGCACCAAATCTAGTTCCTTTAGTCTCCCAATTTTTCAAATTCGAGAATTTTTCTATGGCTCATCAGTCCAGAGTAGAGAGAGTAAAAGCAAAGGTTGGAGCTTTTATTTTTATATTAGATCATTGTTTCTGGGTTTTTGGCACAGTCTCACTCACTTCATGGTACATTTCCTTCCTTGTACTATCTATTTCTGTGTAAATCTTTGATCTTTTTGCAAGTTGTTTCAAAAAGCTTTTTTTTTTTTTTTTTTTTTTTTTTTTTTTTTTTTTGGTTTTTTCGCTTTTGGGTACTGTTATTTTGGTCTGATGGTTCGAGGTTCATGTTTTCCAGGAATGGTAGATTTGGGGTTTAGAAGGTCCACATTTGTGAGGTATATTTCAGATCTGGTTTAGCTCAACCTGTTATGTTTACCAACTTATTGAGTTCTAAGATCTTGTGGGTTCTGGAGTTTCTAGTTAGATTTGCTCTTGGCTTGGCTGTTGGCTCTCTGAATTTAACTGAATATGCTGTGATTGCTTGGTTTCTTTCTGGATATGTTACTAGATTTTGGAAGGGTAATTGTAATTGCTTTGAAGTTCTTGTCTTGTTTAATATTTTTAATGGGGATTTACATTTCTTGACATCTTAATTGACTCTTAAGCTGATTGCATTTCGTACTATTAATGGAGTTGACTATAACGTTTGATACGTTAATTGTAATGCTCAATGGATCAAATGCGTATTATGTTTCCATGCATGGGACTTGTTTTAAAAGAGTTTGATGGTTTTGATTTTGGAACTTAGGCATGTCGGTTAGGATCAAAAGTAAATTGTTTTAAGGTTCTCTCTCTCTCTCTCTCTCTCTCTCTGTCGGTGTGTAATTTGATCCATTTAGTTCTTATGGATATCTCATCAATTCCCACTGAATCAAATTGAGCTAAAATGAAAAGGTCTTTTAAAAAGAAGAAAAAATCCATGTTTGATTTCATTATCTCATAAGTGATGTAACAGTGAGTTCCTGTTAACATAGGCATCCATAGACAGATATTAAACACATGTTTTATTCTGGAAATTTGCAGAATTGCATTGCTTTGTATTTATTTTCTTTCATTTTTTTTTCCTTGGATTGCATGGTATTAATTTAGGGTTGTAATGTGATCATATGTAACGATGCAGCAAGTGGGCTTCTTCAGCATTTTGTAGCTATTGGCCTCCCTGCAATGGGCAAATCACCGGCAAAATGGATCAAAACTGTGCTCTTTGGAAAGAAATCGTCAAAAGCTAATATTCCTAAAGGAAGAGAGGTAACACTATTGTTATTGAGCTGACTTAGGGATATATCCTATTAAACCAAATGAAGGACACCTTATTCCCAAACATTTCCTTTAATATTGACGTTAAGAAGACTTCACTTTACTTTTCATTTTGTAGAGATATCCTTCACATTCAATTTCAGAAGTTTAATTACTTTCTCTTTCTGTACTAAATGTAAAAACCTTACACAAATTCTATCTTTATGCCTATGATCATTGTGTATAGAAATTTTCAAATGAGAAAGAAGTGGTGGTTGCTTCCAGGGCAGCCGGAGCTGAATTTTCTTCAGATCCACCTGTGGCTTTTCATCAAAACACCAACACCTTAGAGGACAACATAGGATTAGAATTGGAGAACAAAGAAGCTCCAAATGTATTGGGTGATGGAGGGCCAGGAAGTCAAAGTACAGAAATACAAGGATCCACACCACAAGATGCAGTGTATGACCCTGAAAGAATCAGACAAGAGCAAGCTGCAACAAAGGCACAGGCTGCCTTTAGGGGTTATCTAGTAAGTCTCTTGCTGAAGTAGTATTTTTCGAGTTGATTAAATATGTTTGTTTTGTTAATGCTTTATTGTATCAATTTTATTTTAGTTGAAATTACAAAACACTAATGCTGGTATATTATGTGAAGGCACGCCGGGCATTTTGGGCCCTCAAAGGCATAATAAGGTTACAGGCACTTATCCGTGGGCACTTGGTTAGGAGACAAGCTGTTGCTACTCTGTGCAGTATGGTGGGCATTGTTAAGTTTCAGGCACTCATTCGTGGAAGACGCGTGAGGCAGTCTGATACTGGGCTTGAAGTGCAAAAAAGATGCATTCTGCCTCTGTTAAATGTAAGTACTTGGTCTTTTATCAATTACTAATTATTACTCTCATCTTTGAACAAGGAACATCATAGTCTCCTTTGCTCCATCCCCAAATACAGGGAGCTGCATTACTGGATAATATACTAAAATATCTAGGTTCATTCAGCGAATACATTATTGATAATATGCTATATGTGTTTTTAGATTTCCTGCTACCCTTTAATCATATCCCTCTTATACATTGTCCATCAGGAGGGCAAGCTAGTGGGTCCGGTTGGAGTTGATACATCAACTCAAATGGCAAAGCTGTCAGCAAATGTTTTCATTTTTAAGGTAAGTTCAATACTGGAGATGGTAATTTGACTAATAAATACTATTCAAAGAACGTGTCCAGATTTGAATCAAATTTTTTCATTTCAGAATGTGTCGGATCTGTATGATTTCAACGGGCATGTTGTAACAGTTTGGTTTTTTCTTTTCAGCTTCTTGCCTTGTCACCTCCTGTGATGCCTCTGAGCTTGCAATATGAACCTGGAGATCCAAATTCAGTCTCAAACTGGTTAGAGCGTTGGTCAGCAACCCATTTTTGGAAACCAGTTCCCCAACCAAGAAAAGTTCCAGATTCAAAATCTCAGAGAAAGCACCCGGAGGCTCAAACAGGCAGGGTAAAGCGAAGCAACCGGAGGGTTCCTTCAGCAAATGTTGAAAGCGTATCAGTGCAAGCCACCTCTGAATTTGAGAAACCCAAACGTAACCTGAGAAAAGTTTCTACCCATACAACAGATCCGGTGCAGGAAAATCCACAAGTTGAGCTTGAAAAGGTCAAACGTAATTTGAGGAAGGTTCATAGTCCCATAGTAGAGAACTCTGTGCAGACAGAAGGTGAAGCTGAGAGTCTCAAACAGAGTCTGGAAAAGGCATCAAGCACTTCAGGTCCTGATGTTTTGGAAGGATACACTAATAACTCTGGTGAGAAATTGAAGAAGGAGCCAACTTGGATTCTGTCCAATCAACCTGATACAGAAACAATTCCTGAACCGTCAGCAACAAAAGAGGTATTTAATCTATCATCTGGTGATCAAGCTGTAGAAGATTTGAAGCCTCTGACAGAGAGCACTGGTAAGGATATAAATGCACCTAGTGCTGAAGCTGCAGTTGAGTCGAAGATATTAACAGAGAGCAATGGAAATGATGAAAATATCTCATCCGCAAATGGGGTTTTGAGCCAAAAAGAAGATTTGACAACCAATGACAACCAGAAATCCAGCAGGAAATCTTCTACTCCAGCCAAACAAGAACGTTCAGAGAATGGGTTGCAAAGCAGTCCAACGGTACCAAGTTATATGGCAGCAACTGAATCTGCAAAGGCAAAGCTGAGAGCACAAGGCTCCCCTAGGTTTGGACAAGATGGGGCTGAGAAAAATAACTCCACTCGTCGTCATTCTCTCCCATCATCAACTAATAGCAAAATCAGCTCACAGTCTCCAAGGACACAGAGACTGGTTCAAACAGTTGGCAAAGGAGGAAATAAAAGTGAGAGAACTCAGCCAACTTCAAGAGAAGGAAATGGTATGATTTTGCGTCCTTAATAGACTGATTCTTGTTTCCCCCTGGACTTTTGGAAATATATTGCATATTTGGTTATGAGAGAGATTCACAGATGGAGAGAATTTCTTGAAATTCTTTTCAATGCTGCATTGATCTGGAAGTTTATAATCTTCCAGACCTGTCGGTACATATTAATTGTTTTCCTGTTCTTGCCGAAGGAAGTTAAGCTGAAAGTTGATTCTTTTCAATGCTGCATTGATCTGGAAGTTTCTAATCTTCCAGACCTGTCGGTACATATAAATTGTTTTCCTGTTCTTGCCCAAGGAAGTTAAGCTGAAAGTTGATTGCTTTACTATTCTTTTTTAATTCTCAACTACAGTCTAGAGCATGCCATCTCATCATGTAACCTCAACAATGCACTTCCTGTTTATTTTCTCAATATGCACAGTGGTTTATCTATTAACGATCACCTTGGCCATTGTTTGATTTTGCAGGAAAGGCAACCCAAGCAGAGTGGAGAAGGTGATTGATAAGGTGATTTTCAATATAAAATGGGAGGCATTCGTGTCAGTTTTTGATTTATGCATTTGTGATTCAAAGTGTTGTTAAACTGTAACGTCATCTATAGTTAGAAGGTTGTTTTCGGCCAAGAGCCTCTTGTGATTTGTCTGCGTTTGTGATGTTTATGAGTGAATGTACATCATAGGTTTCATGTTACTTACTATCTTGCATTAAGACTCACTCAGACACGGTTGGTTTTCAGTCTTATGATACGATTTCTGGCCATTCGTAGCCTGTTGTATAGGGATTATCAGTTTATGTGCGCCTTCATGTTTGTTATGCTTTATACGCTGAAACTTAAGCCATTTGAAATTAGTGCAAGTGATTTGGTATGCTCAACTGTTGTGCCTCTGCATTTCTTCCACAGCATAAATATGGCAGAATTGGACTGTTTTTTTAATCAAGAGGAAATTAAGTCATAAACCCTCTTGCAACCAGAGTATACATGTTAGACAAATCATTGGCTCTAAAAACCTTAAGCTTAGCTGTTTAAAAAATGGGGTCGATAATCTAAATCAAAGCTAACACTTACAATGGCTGTGCTCATCAAATTTACAAAAATGCAAAAATGTACTGCTGTCAACTGTAACCAAAATCACAACTCCATTGAAACTGGTCGTGACCAGCCTAAGAAGCCTTTCTGTGATTCGGGTCTGGAAAATGTAGGTTGGTCGGTCCACCGGTAGGAGGTACTGGAGTTTCAGGTGCGTGGCCAGAAATGCAGAGTTTACCGGACTCATCTTGATCCCAATAAACTTCTACCATAAACCCTCTTGTATATTGTGGAGATTCTGTTCCTGGAATCACCGTATACTTTGTTCCCACTGGTATCTGCAGAATCATTGTAATACAATATCAGAAGAGCAAGACAAGAAAACATAACCCGCTCATGATTTTTATATTTGTTGTCAATTCTGTATGGTAGTATAAACTATAAAGAGAAAGAAATGTTCACGCTCACATCAAATGAGGCTCCAGATGTTAAAGTGAGAGTAACCAGCCTCCCCTCAGTTATGGCAGCTTCTAGCTCTGCCTGCCTTGCAATATTCAAGAAAACTTCTTCAAGAGTTGTGAGACCAAGTTGGATGTCTGCTATATTAAATTCATGTTGTCTGTCTTGAAGCTCCGCAAAAAATCTCTGTACAAGTTCGTAAAATCAAAAGGAATAAGAACAGTAGAAAATAACAGAAACTTGGTGAGTGAGACTTCTTTTTATTGGTCTTCATAGCTGACATTATGCTATCCTTCTCCTAAGTCATATCGGATTTCAGTATAGGAACCATTGTAAATACTGGAAAAGTATAAGCAGATTTAAAAGATATAAAACAAAGTAGAAAGGGAAATCATTACCGTCAATAGCCCCTCTTTATCATGAGGAATGACAAAAGTCAGAAACGCACTGTTCTCTTCTTTAGGTAAAACACCCAAATGCTGTAGAACTTTTCCCAAGTTAGACCTTTTGTGTGCATAAAAAAAGTTTAAATAATTTCCAAAATTAACATACATAACAGTCTCAAGAATTAACATACACGTTCAAAGAACAGCTTCACGGCCTCATGGTGAGGTGTGTTCACTGAATTGGTGCTTCCACTGAAGCTCACATTAGCAATAAAACCACTCCCAAACCGTGACTTCAGCCGGATTGAAGTTCCAATGCAACGGAGTTTACCCTTTGCCATGATTCCTATTCGGTCACTTAAAATGTCAGCTTCTTCCATTGAGTGAGTGGTTAGGACAATTGCACGCCCTTTTTTTGCATCCTCTATGATGTCCCACACATGCCTTCTTGTTATTGGGTCCATACCAGTTGTCTGCAGATCATAAACTAAATTACATAAGCAGGGCAAGTAGATGAGCTTATAAGGGAACAAGTTGTAATTTCCATACCGGTTCATCTAAGATAACTAACTTTGGATCACCAATAAGGGCTATTGCGACACTCAGGCGACGTTTCATTCCTCCACTGTAACTACCAGCTCTCATCCTGGCTGCCTCATCGAGTTTCACCTCTGCCAATGACTTCTTAGCCACCTAAATTCCAGAAGGAGCATTCAACATACAGACTAAACACTCATTCTTGCTCGAGCTTAACACAAATGAATGATTGTGATACCCATTCAAACATTTTAAAGCAAGAAAGCATGTGAAATACCCTATTAAAGTTAGTGCAGCACATACCGATTCTATTGAAGATTGAGGTAGGCCTTTAATAGTAGCGAACAGTTGGAGGTGCTCTTGCCCAGTCAATGCACTCCAAAGAATATCGAACTATGAATAGAGACAACATCCAAACAAGGTGAGTCTAATATTTTAAATAAGCTGTTGCAACATAGTGAAAACTATGTAACTTGTATAATCTTGAAAAATTCAGGTCTACTGCATGCACAAACAGGTGTGTGTGTGTGTGTGTGTGTGTGTGTAGAGAGTGGGGTGGGCAGAGCAGGTCACCTGCGGACAAACTCCTATAATTTTTCGAATATTTGCCATACCAACGGAACTTCGGGCAGATTGACCATAAATCAATGCTGTTCACAAGGAAATTTACAATTTTATTATATCCCCTATTGACTTCATCCAATAAATTTTTTTATCGATGGACTAAAAAATAATGAAACTATTACCATCTCCTCCAGTCACAGGAGCGAGGCCTGTTAAACAACTGATTGTCGTGGTTTTCCCAGCTCCATTGGGTCCAAGTAGACAAAATAACTGATCCTTGGCAAAGTTCACCCATAAACCCTGGAAGTTATTCAAAATAAATCTTTTGTTACCATATTATTTTATTAAAAAAAGCAAGAAACATATATTCTGTTTCTGCGTTATACATTTTTGTCTCAAGCAGACAACAGATGAAAATTAAGAAACAGGGTAAAATAACTTGATCATGAATCATGATAATATCCATACTCAGAGGGACATTCCTTTATAGCAGCTACTAAGTGACGGATGGCAATCATTTATGAGGTTCTTCCAGAGGATCTCATATTCTAACAATCAACCCAAATGAGTCTAACATCTTCACCAGAACATCTCACAAATAGAATTCACAAGAGATAAATAGGTAAAAATTGACGGAAGATGCATTAAGTGAACAAAATAATTAAATAATTTCAAAAGATTCCTCCACATGAACCGCAAACAATAGGTGCTACATAAAAAGAGAGGTAAGCCATTTTAATCTCTCAACTTCCTCTGGAAACTAAAAGTTGGAAAAGGTTCTTTACCTTTACAGCATGGTAAGGTGCAGTTTTCTTGCCACAGCAGCAACAACCACCTTTTCTGGTCCCAGGATATGTCCTCACAAGGCCACGTATCTGAACTGCAATGTTTGGAAGAACAGCGCCATCCCTAGCTTGTTGTTTTACAACGTTCTCCTCTTCAAGGACATCTACATCATCCGGAGTGCTACCATCCAGTGGTGGAGCTGAACTATAATTGTCACCCTCTATAAAAAGAGAGGATAAAAGCATCAAGTCTTCCATCCAACAAGGGAAACTCAAGCATAAACTGAGTGTCAGACTTATTTACCTTTCACTTTGTTTCCACCTATCCCTATCCAGTACCCAGGTGTTAAAAAATAATACACTGGTTTTTTGACACCAGATGCATTTGGGATGATATTATCTAAGTAGATAGCCAAAACAAACCAGATGACGAACGTCGCCATTAGCCATTTATAAATCTCACTCTGTCAAAGTTTGGATGAATGCATTAATAATAAATGGCAGGTATGTGAAATCAGAAGTATTTATGAACTACTGTTAAGTTTTGAGTTTGAGGACCAATGTGTATACGTACAAGAGTTATAACACAATCGAATTCATTTGGTCCACACTCTGTTATTCCACTCAAGCTAATCCCACGATCTTGAGGAGTGGATGTTGCATCAGCAAGTATCTTCAGAGCTTTGGCAAGAAGATTAGGTGGGAATAATGACCAGAGGAATCGAGAGGTTTTAGAGAAGCCACTCGCATATGGAAATCCTGCTGTTGTAACAAGCTGCAGTGACAAAATGGATTCTGATATTTACCATTGAACCAATAACCCCTAATCAATAAATTATGTACTGAGGAAACTTGCCTGGGATAGAAAGCCAAGAATAAATATGGTGAAACCCACAGTTGTGGATGAAGATGCCTTGCTTACGAAGGCTGACAACATGAAGGCAAAACCAACCTGGCACCAAATGTTAGAGAGGGTGCATTAGAGGCTATTAAACAGAGAGATTTGCTTAAGAAAATAAATTGGAGAAAATAAGCATAAGTTGAAACCAGTAATTGCAAGAAATAGTCTTACCATATTGAGTTGGAAAAGAAAGAAGACCAGGTATAAGACCAGAATATTGTTATGCAGGAAAAAATCAAACATAAACATCATCCCAAAGAGAACTATGAAAAGTGATGAGAGAAGTGTCATAATTCCCTCCCATGTGAGCCAAGAGAGCCAGTATGCAGTATCATAAAGACCCATCATTGTCATTGCCTGTTGGGTGAAACAAGTAAAACACCAAATAACTAATTGATTCAAAAAATGGGATAGCAATGCTATTCCATAATTTCACCAATTTAACTGGCAAGAATCATACATTAACTTCAAGTCATTACATTACCTCTCGAAGCTTTAGTTCTTTCTCAACAATCAAAGAAGACATTTGAAACACAAAACCAAACATGGCAGTTGCAAGGAAAAAGGTTGGTCCAACTTGTTTAATTGCAGAGTACAACTCTCGCGCAGGGTGTGCAAATTCCTTGAATGAAACATCCCAGCTAAAATTTGGAACTGAAACAAGTCAATTTACAATTTATGAGTGCTAAATAAGGTCAAGGTGCTAATCATGAAACTAAAAGTTTCTGCAAAGAACACAGGACTTTGAGAAATACAAAATTATAAGAAATGTGAAAGAAAAACCCAATACCTCCAATCAGAGACCTAACAATCTCACGCTCGGCGGCAATCTGAAGCGGAATTTGAAACTTGAAGGTACGCTCCTCAAATTGCTTTCGTTTTGCAACAGCAGTAGAATTAGTCTGTATGCCATAGCTAATTACAGTGGCCTCTCTCTCCGAAAAATGCAAAGCTCCTGAGCAAGTCATTGGATTATTAGACAGCCATTCATCAACATCAGCACTTGTTCTAAACGATTTCACCTGCGAAAATAGAAAAAAGTCCCCATCTTTGAGATTGCGACTTTCACACCGCATTTTGCTTTCCAAAATACGAAAAATTTGATCTTTCCGCAAGCAAAAAGAAGCAGAGCAAAAAAAATCCATTTTCCCTCCACATTTTCTCGGTAACCAAACAAAATGCAACAAAAAATCGTACCTTGGTCGCCGGAATGGGCCTGCCGGGGTTATTGGCCATGATAGCGGTGACGATGTTCCGAATCTTAGAGCTCCCATCGCCGCTCCAGACGAAGTCGTAGCAGGGTTGTTTGACGAAGAACTTTTCCTCGCAGGGAGGGATCGGCGGCGAAACGAGAGGCGCAGGGTCTTCGATGCTCTTGTAGTCGGTGGAGGAGGCGGAGCGAGCCTCGAGGGCCTTCTGGATGCAGAAGATGAGGAAGATGAAGAAGAAGGAAGAGAAGAGCTGCACGCAGGTCCCCCACTTGTTCCGCCATGCGAGCAACAGGTTCTTCTTGAACAACGCCGTGAATTGCTGGATCAGCAATGGAAATCCACTCACTAATTCCATGATTTTTTTTTGTTACTTTTTATTTCTTTGAATCTTATTTTATGGTGCGAAAGTGAGAGAACCGCGCGGGATTTTGTTTATATATCACTGAGTTCTTACCAAAAAAATAGCAAACGTCTATTTACGGCTCAAATTTAAAACACTAGTCAAAAACTCACTTCACAAAGCCGTTGGTCTTGATTGTTTTGTGCGTAAGCGTTTCTGAATTACCATTTTGACCTTGGTTTCCATTGAATTTATGAATTTACCATTTTGTGGCCGGTTTCCGACATAACTGATCGCTTAATGAGAAAGTTAACATAAAACATAAGATACGTCAGTATTTCTCTTCATGTTAAGGTGAATCTTTCAAAACATGTCACTTTCAAATACACAAATATTTTTACCTCATTGATTTGTCTTTGAAGGTTTCAACAAGGATTTAATAGCATGTTGTTGATTCCATGAAGCAAGTTGTTTAAAAACTAGTAATTAATTGTGATTAGTCAAAGCATAATCAGTTTTGGTGATGCAATACACAGACTAACCACTCTATTATATATATATTATAACCAACAAGAAGCTACACCAATTTTCACTAAAACTAAGAGTGTAGTTTTTATATGTCAATTGTTTGACCAAATCTAAATATCCTGGAAACTTGTCCATATTGATGTTGCAATCACAACTTTTCCTTGTTGCAAGATACATGGGTTATTGAATATATTAATTAGAATAATCATAAGGGAATATAAAAGCCCAAAATATATGTTTACACCCACCAAAGTTCCAAGATAAATACTTTGCTGCCTCCAAGTGTTGCATTTGAGCCATAAACTTCCATATTGATTTTATTTTATAATTTCACTGCCATGACAAAAGCTTTGATCATTGTCCTTCCAAATAAAAATAAAAAACGCGGTAAAGGGTACTATGGTAGTTTTGGGGAAGGGCACAATTGATTTCTTTGGTTTTGACTATTTATAATAACAAAGCCGTTCCTTTCCATGGCCATGAACAGAGCAAATTAGCAAACACCAGCAATTTTGCACACACAGAAAAAGTGGCACGACAGAGAAAAATTCTACTCTAGTGGGAAATTTGAATTTTTGTCTACTGTTTTTTTTGGAAAGTTCAGATTAACGGTCGCATTTCTTGCTTAAGGCTTTGGAGTTAGGCAATTCAATGGCGGATACGTCTCATGGTCCTGCTAGCTTCTGGACTCAGGCAGATGCTTTGCTCAGAAAGAACTTAACTTTCCAGGTCCTTCTCTCTCTCTCTCTCTCTCTCTTATTGTTTGTGGGTAGTTTTAGTTTGGTTTCTGAAAACTGAGATTGAATGCAGAAAACAAAGAAGAAGAAAAATCGAATGAAGAGTATTCTTTGCTTTTCTCTTTATGTTTATTTTCTTTTCATATTCATTATCCCTTTTTTGGCACTTATCCGTGAGATTCTTGATTGCTTGTTGATCAAGCGGTTACTTTTTCCTTCAACTTTATCTCACAGTTTTACCTTCTGGGTTCATTTTAGTTAGTATAATTATGGGTTAATTTGTGCCATATGATTTATTTTGGTTCGGGTTAGGTTGTCTTTCTTGTGTATGAGTGATGGGTTGTTGGGTGATTGTGATTATGTGAGTCTGCAAATAATATTTTGTATAAAATCTGATGATAATAGCATATATACGTTCTCTTATGCAGAAACGAAATATCAAAGAGAATATTCGGCTAGTTTCATTTCCAATTCTCCTGTGTTTATTGCTAGTTCTTGTCCAAACTTTGGTCAACCATGAACTCGATAAGCCTGAAAACAGGTGTGGTTGCATCTGTATTGATACAGATGGAGATGGGAAGTGCGAGAAAGTTTGCGCCCTAAAATACTCAACTTTAGACCAAGGAGCCAGTTGTCCCATTCCTGATCCTCCCCAGTGGCCTCCATTGCTACAAGTCCCGGCTCCAAACCATCGTGCAGTGATATCCAGTGTTATTCCATATACAGACTTGCCAAATGAGTCATGTAAGAGGACAGGATCCTGTCCTGTAACTATGCTGTTCACTGGGAAAAATCAAACTCTAGGAGAAGGTATTACCCTCTCTCTCTGGCATGTGTGTTTTAGTATGTCAATTTTGAATGTTACTGCTTCACCTGATGAGTTATGTAGATCATTATTTGATGTAATTGTATTGACTTTGTTTTCCGTTAGTATATTAATGCTAACTGTTTACTGTACATTCTGATAGTTTTGGCTGGGAATATGTTCAGAAGTACTCTGAATTCCTCTGATACCCTGGATAATTTAGCCAGTAATGTTTCAGTAAGTTGTCTTCTCTCTACGTTCCTTTCCTACTTTTTCCTTTTGTTGTGAATCAGTTTTTTCTTTCTTTCATTCAAGTATTATGGCTTTCATAGTTTCTTGTTAACTGTTTTAGCTTTGTTTCTAAAGTCATTTTTTATGAAATGTTTCAGGGTTCAGAATCAATGCCTGAATTATCCAATTTCCTTGATCCTGCTTTCTATTCAGATCTTCCAATATATAATGTGCAGAGTCAATGCTCACAAAACTCCATATTTTCTGTTCCCATTAACATATCATCCATTCAGATGCAACAAGGTATATGTTACTTATGCACATACACAATTTTTGTTGCATGCCACCTACTAAAACGTTTTTCTTAATTTTGTCTTGAACCTAGAGGTTAGATGTGTTCAGGGTTTGCATTTGTGGCGCAACAGTTCTTCTGAGGTAAACAGTGAGCTGTATAAAGGTTACAAGAAGGGGAATTCAGAGAGGAAGATTAATGAAATACTTGCAGGTTATCTACTTCATATATCTATCTGGCTTGCTTGTTTGATTTGATGAAATAAGTATACTAGTAGGCCAATACTGACAGTGAATTTTTTTTGCAGCCTATGATTTCTCTAACTCAAATGGGAATAATTTTAATGTAAGCATATGGTACAATTCAACCTTTAAGAATGACACGGGCAGCGGTCCTATTGCTTTGCTGCGGCTTCCGCGTTTAGTGAATCTGGTATGCATCTATAACTTGTTTTTCTTGTTGAGTTTTCTTTTATGCTATCGATTATAATAGAAGCAGTAAATTCAATACAATAATAAGTGCTAACACTTGTATTCACAGGCATCCAATGCCTACCTTGAGTTTTTACAAGGATCTGGTACAGATATGCTGTTTGAGTTTGTCAAAGAAATGCCCAAACCTGAAAGCAAACTCAGGCTGGATTTTTCTTCTCTTCTTGGTACACTATTCTTTACATGGGTCATTTTACAGCTGTTCCCGGTAAGTATATGAAGCTTTGCTCAAGTCTATCAATCCTGTTTGGTGCCATGGATTTGATTAAATTTTGCATCTTTTGATTTCAACATCTCGTCATTTGCATTTACAATTATAAGTAACTACATTTTCTTTTCTTCTCATAATTTATTCTCAAAGTATGGTTAAGATTTCTGTGAGGTTATATGGTGATATCCTCTTTGTTGGCTCCCCATCATCTGCATTTTTGAGTCATGAAATCAACACTGCATACTACAAGTGCCTCCACAACTTTAGCAACATATGACTTTGAGAATGAAATTGAACCTCTCCATCTATTTACAAACACATGATTTTTATACTAGCTATATACCTTAACCAATTGGAAATAATATTTCACCATATCAGTTCTAAATACAGTTGTAAATGTGTCTCCTTTCCCAATTTCGTCCTCTATGCTATGCATAGAATGTTGATCTATGAGTGAGTATACATACTTATAGTTTCCGTTTGCCCAATTCTGATGTAGGTTGTGTTGACGTCACTGGTATACGAGAAACAACAAAAACTGAGAATCATGATGAAAATGCATGGGCTTGGTGATGGGCCATATTGGATGATTTCCTATACTTATTTTCTTACAGTATCTTCAATCTACATGCTATGTTTTGTTATATTTGGCTCACTTATAGGTAATGATATGACTGCTTAACAACTTTCTTAGTCTAGCTTCACTTCAATTGCTTTAACGAAGCTGACTTCATTACAGGGTTAAAATTCTTCACGATGAATGAATACAGCATCCAATTTTTTTTTTACTTCATCTATATAAACTTGCAAATATCGCTGGCTTTTCTAGTTGCTGCTATGTTTTCAGACGTGAAGACTTCTACAGGTTTGATGTTGTTGTTTGTATTTATATGAAACGTAGTGGGCCACTCTCAACTTTTATCTAACAGGATGGGTTGACTGACATTTTTGTCATGATAACAGTTATTGGTTACATATTTGTCTTTGGAAGTGGGCTTTTGGGAGGCTTTCTTTTTCAATTCTTTGTCCAAGATACATCATTCCCAAGTAAGTGGAAACATTTGTGAAAATTTGGTATCTGTTGCTTTGCTCTTGTTTGTTTCCACGATAACTATTTCCAGTGTCAAGCTAATATTTAAAAGGGTTCTGTTTCAAGGGAGTGCATTTCAGAATTTCATTTATGCAAATTGTTATGTAGTTCTCCCTCCTCTCAATATTATGTTAGCTTGCTTAGATCTTGAGGTGACCGGGGAGATGGTTTCCAATTCCACCTTGCCTTACCAGTGAATACCTCTGAAGCCTTTGTCACACCAAGATGAAGGCTACAGTGGGTGTCTTACCTGTTTAATGTAATTCATTGGCATTCCTGGAGAGATACTTTCTGCGAAGAGAGGCACATTAATAAAATCTTTTTAAATAACTGGAAAAATCTGCAAGCTTGATGAATCTCAAAATAATAACACTAGTTTTTTTTATATCACGTAGGACTATTATTTATGACTGTGAGCATATTGTCGATATGTTTTAAGTAAACTTGAGGGATACAACAATATGCTCTATTGAGTTTGTGGTCTGATTCTGTTGATATTCTGGAGGTGGCAACCTTCAAATATAAACCAATGCGCTGTTAGTGGACCAAACTGTTCACCGCTTAGTACTTCAACTGTCAGTGATTAGTGTTTGCTTAAGTTTTGCCTCCTCTTTCTACTTGTACTTCTCAAACACTCAGCTCATTATAAGATTGTTTTGCATTGTTGTAGGAGGTTGGATCATTGTTCTGGAGCTATATCCTGGCTTCTCTCTATATCGTGGGTTATATGAGTTTGCACAATATGCCTTTAATGGCAATTATATGGGAACCGATGGGATGCAGTGGGGAGATTTAAGTGATAGCAATAATGGGATGAGAGAGGTCTTTATTATCATGGTTGTCGAGTGGTTTTTGGTGCTTCTTTTTGCATATTACGTAGATCAAGCTGTCTCATCAGGAACTGGGAAAGGTACTTTCTTTTGCTTACAAAGATTTAGGAAGAAGAAACTGTCATCTTTTAGGATGCGTAGTTTGCGAAGGCAGGGATCTAAAGTTTCTATTGAGATGGAGAAACCTGATGTTGGTCAGGAGGTAACTTTTTCTTGCACTTTAACTTATATCCTCAATTTTCATTGCTGGTTTAGTATTTGGAGATTATCAGTTTCCAGATCATTTAGGTGGAAAGACAAAATGTCAACTTTTAGCTATATGATTCAAGATTAGTCTTTAAGTTTTGGTACCCTCGTTCGATGTCCTTGATGTTTATAAGTGTCACTGATGTTTGACCAAAAAAATAAGTTTCACTGATGTTTGCTTCATGCATGTCTTTCATATCTTTATGAGTTTTTTATCTTCCTCAAAATGATGTGCCTAAAGTTAATATGCATGAATAATGCTTCCACTTCCTTTCCAGAGGGAGAAGGTTGAAAAGTTGCTACTGGATTCAGATACAACTCATGCAGTCATCTGTGACAACCTCAAAAAAGTGTATTCTGGAAGAGATGGAAACCCTGAGAAATTTGCAGTGAGAGGGTTGTCTCTTGCTTTGTCTCGGGGAGAGTGTTTTGGTATGCTTGGCCCTAATGGTGCTGGGAAGACCTCTTTTATCAATATGGTCAGTATGCTCTTTCAAACTTTGATTAACTTGCGTTACATTTACACTAAATTTCTAACATTTTTCTTTTCGTTTGCTGGTGAGATCATTATTCCTTAAGATTTCATATCTAGTCATTTGAAAAAATAAATTGAGAAAAACTGGAAAATTATTATAAGAAAGTTTTCAAGTAATCAAATATTTTCTCAAATAAATCAAGGACTTTTTTTATGCTTCATGGAGATATATAATTTTATTCACTCCTATTATCCAACTCAGTGATGTTCTTTTCTTGGCTTCCGTTAGCCATAACTGTTGTCACGTCGTCCTGTCTCTGCTGCATTGACATCTCCAGTCTTTTCTGGTAGAGCTATGCTTGTAGAGTTAATATTTTTGGGTTGGCTTCACCCCTCTGGATGCTGTCCAATATTCTTGCATGTCAAGGAATTGCCTTTGCTCTTGTGTTTTCTTTGGTCTTTAAAACTTTTAAAAGTTAATGTGTATTTATCTTTCCACAGATGATTGGTCTCACAAAGTCAACCTCTGGCACTGCTTATGTTCAAGGTCTGGACATTAAGACTCAGATGGATGAAATATATACCAGCATGGGTGTTTGTCCACAGCATGAGTAAGCTAGAACTTTTCCTTAAGGCAAAATGTTCCTTCAATTAAAATCTGATTAATTTCTCATTTTTTTGGACATTTTGGTAGCCTGCTATGGGAAACCCTGACTGGAAGGGAGCATTTACTATTTTATGGAAGACTTAAAAACCTCAAAGGTTCTGCATTAATACAAGTAAGTCAATATATATTTTATATAGAAATAGTGACCGACAAATAATAAACCAAACTAATCTAGTTATACTTTAAAGTGTGTGCTCTGGATTATTATTTTGAGAATAACTCTTTTGTTTTTTCTGTTGTTTCCCGTCCCAATTTTGTTGCTGAAGGCAGTGGAAGAATCTTTGAAAAGTGTCAATCTATTTTATGGTGGAGTTGCAGACAAACAAGCTGGAAAGTACAGTGGAGGTATGAAGAGAAGGCTTAGCGTTGCCATTTCACTTATAGGGGATCCCAAAGTATGTCTTCGTGCTCTGTTAAAGCTACTTTGGCTATATCTGTGATAGTTTTCCTGGAAAATCAGATATGTTATCTCGAGATGCTACTCTACTTATTGCCTTCTTCTATAAATTCCTTCTAGGTTGTTTACATGGATGAGCCCAGTACTGGACTTGATCCAGCTTCAAGAAACAACTTATGGAATGTTGTGAAGCGTGCAAAACAAGACCGGGCAATCATCTTAACTAGTACTCCCCTGTCCTCCCCTCTATTTACTGTTTTGTCAATTATAAAATCCATGGCGGCTCAGTACAGTATGGAGTAGTGTTAACTGTTAAGCAACAGCATAATGACCTCTTTTGCTTCTTTATTCACTTATAAAGCTGGTCTGTGTATCTTCAGCACATTCCATGGAAGAGGCAGAGGTTCTCTGTGATCGGTTAGGAGTTTTTGTGGATGGTAGCTTGCAATGCATAGGAAACCCAAAAGAGGTATCTTAATTTAGTGCCATAACATCCGTATAGGACATATATCGGTTTTTCTCGACACTTTGCATAACACTTGTTACCAAAATTGTGTATCTCAGCTGAAAGCTAGATATGGAGGATCTTATGTGTTTACAATGACAACATCTTCGAATCATGAGGAAGAGGTGGAGAACTTGGTGCGAAGACTCTCCCCAAATGCTAACAAGATATACTATCTTTCTGGGACCCAGAAGTTTGAGTTGCCAAAACAGGAGGTCAGAATTGCAGACGTATTTGAGGCAGTTGATAATGCAAAGCACAGGTTCACAGTTTTCGCATGGGGTCTAGCTGACACCACCTTGGAGGATGTCTTCATCAAGGTCGCACTTGAGGCCCAAGCCTCCAATGTACTGACATGATTGTCATATTTTGTTCATTGCTACTGAGATGTTAATTTGTATGTCATTTGGTTTCACGTTGGAAATATTCATTTCCATTTGTTTTATACGTGCTGATATATAGAAATAAATAATGAAATTTGATAGTTTCTATATATCAATTCTCTCTCTTTTTGTTGAAAGAGAAACCAAAATTCTTTTTTTAGATTAGGCATCGTTTTGTTCAGTGGGAAAAGTTTGGTAGTTCATGCTGTTGATACTTGATCAACTAACTGAGCCAAGGTGAAAAAAGCGTGCATCATGCGACATGCATGTCTTGAGGACTCTGGTCTATTTATAAGATCAGAAGCTTAAGCTCAAGCGCACCTCTCTTATATTTCTCTGAGTTTCCTCTCCATATTAGCAAAAAAGCAAAGCATCCCTCCTCTCACGTTTCATCACATTTTCTTGCTTTCCCTTGTGGTAAGTATCAATCTTTCCTTTGCTTCAAATTTGGTTGCTTCTTTTGGAGCCAATTGGGCTGTGAAGCTACCTTAAGCAAATTCTGATGTTGTACGACTGCAAACCCCTGCGGTCCCAGGAGGAGTGAGAGTGCTGGATCTGAATGCAGTGAAAAAAGGAAAACCTTAATGTCACTAGAATTTGCTGAAGGTAGCTGCACAGCCCATAGTAGCTTCGTAGCCTCAAAATTGAGTTTGTTAAGTTTAATCCCTACAGAGTTCTCTTTTTCCCCCTACAAAGTATACTAGCATTTTAACACTCTTAACCACACATGCATTGCAGTTCTTGGCTACTTGACGTTTGGAAAATAAGAATTGTCCAATCGCAAGTGACAATTGTAAGCTGCTCACGCAATTTCCAAGAGATATAGAGGCCATGCAGAAGGTTTTTATTCCATAATTATTACTACTTGCTAGTTATAATCTGCAGCATGGCCTTATATCGCTTGGTAATTATGCGAGCAGCTTGTTGGTTAACATAGTGATGATGATTACAGCTAGAGGTGAAAACCCGGTTGAATCCCAGATGCTCTGAATATCGGTACAAGGGCATTAACCTCCAAGCCCCTCCTCAGCAAGAAATGTTGACCCGCAAGCCCAGATGAGATTTTTTTTCATATACATTATAACATAAGACTCAATTTTCCATTTGGTCAAAAACAAAAAAATAAAGAGCTTTTCATCACTTGCGGAGAAGGAAAGGAACTGCCAGTCTCTGTACCTGACTGGTCTTTCGACTCCTACGAGCACTTCTTGATGCCCAACAGTTTGGACCGACTGTCGTACCTTAAACTAAAACTGTACCTTCTTTTTTTTTGGTTACAAAATGCTATGGTGGTGGCCCAACACTATAGCTACAGGATCTGAAAAACCGATTTGCCAATTAGATATTGAATTATTAATAATATAATGATTTAAAATGTGTCTTAATGTGTGTTAAAAAATGTGTTTTTTATTTATTCTAACTTAAATATTAAATTTAATTGAAACATCTTAATAGTCAAATGCTATTTATAATTATACACCTGTAAATTAGTAAATTGATACATGTGAGTCTCACAATGTATTAATTGCCTGAAACCCAATGCTCATGAATTTAATAGTGTGACATCTCCCCTTACAAACACAAGTGGTACAATTGCCATCTACAACTATGAACGGACACCTCTGGCTGGCTTTTCAGAGCTCAGTTAATAATGATTTTTATTAAACCCAACAATCAAAAAGTCAGAATTTTTCTTTTTTTTTTTTTTTTTTTTTTTTTTACATTCTTGTAAAATTTAAATGACACATGTCACGTCGTGTAGTTAATAGCCATGTCAAAATAATTGCTTCCTGTCCAATAGAAAAGGCCAAAATTGCTTACACTAAACTGAATAGCAATTCTTGAGGGGCCAATACCCAAATAATGCCTTTTCATTTCTTTATTTTTTTAATTTTTTTTATAAAAAAAAGTCATTTCCTGCTACTTTTTTTCAACTAATAAAATCGTTATATATATGAATGTGATATGTTGATTCTAAGTAGCATATACTTTTTAAAACTCACTTTACCAATCAACTGTCAACCAGGAAGGGAATTGATAAACGGATGTCAGTTTAACTGCTCCAAAGCTTCAATTTTGGCGGGAAAGTTTCTAGCTTTTTGACCGTCATTGCAAGTCCTTGCTTGGGTATCAATGGGGGATCAATCACATTGTCATGTCAGTTTCTGGTCTCAGGCCAATGCCCTTCTCAGGAAGAACCTAACTTTCCAGGTCTCCCTCTCATCTTTTTCTTTTGTGGGATTTGTTCTTGCTTGTTGGAAAAAGGAGCTGTCTTTGGTGTTTCCCTCTGCTCTTTATATTTATTCCACTGTTTCAGCTTTGTGGGTTTTCCCTTAATTGTGTTTTTTTCTTGGATTTTAGTTTATAAGCTATTAAAACTGTAATAAAATCAATTTGATTTATGTTGCCCAACTGTTGAATTTTCTTTTTCTTACATACTTGAGCGATAATGCTTGATTAGGCTGAGTCCTCTATGGCTTGAAATTTTGGTTATTGCTTCTGCTGTATTTAAAAGCATCCTTCTTTTACTTTGTATGTACTTCTTCTCATTACATGATTTTATGTTTTTCTTTTCTTCTTTCAGAAACAAAATATCAAGACAAGTATTTGGCTCATTTCATTTCCAATCATCCTGTGTTTATTGACTCTTGTCCTTCAAAGATTGTCGGACCCGCTGAGTGTGGCTGTAGTAAAGAGGCAGGGTGTTACTATGAATATGCTTTCAATGGAGTTATCCGTTGTGCGTTTCCTAACCGTCCAAAATGGCCTCCATTACTTCAAATACCTGCTCCCGAATATTGGGCTGTGAGAAGTGAGGTTGTTCCTTTCACAGATTTGCCAGATTGAGTCGTCCAGGACCATTCCTGCCCTGCAGCTCTACTTTTCACTGGAAATAATCAAACACTTGGGCTCAAGTGTGCTCTCTCTCCTCTGTGTGTTTGTTTTGTAATGCTAGTTTGTTCTTTTTGTGCTTTGAGTATTTGAACTGATGGGATGCTGACAATAAATATTTTTTTTTGTTTAATCGTGTATGTTGTGATAGGTTTGGCTGGGAATATGATCCCCAGGGCTTTCAGTCGAAAAGTCTTTAGCAGATGATGCTTTTGTAAGTTGTCTTTCTTCTTCTTTGCTCTGCCTTCTTAGGTTTGTGACTAATTATCTGTTGATTTTCATCATTATTAAAAAACTAACATTATTCTCATATGGTATTCTTATCTATTCTTGTGCTTTTATATTTATTCAGGGTCTAGAAAGAGCTTTGTTGCTAATATGATATTTCATAATTTTCAGGGCTCAGAATTTTCACCAGGCTATTCCAATTTTGAAGATCCTGCTTTTACTTTGGATCCCTTCATCTAATCTCTACAACGTCATTGCCCACCAGACTTTAACTTTTCAGTTTTCGTTTAGAATGCCTCTGATGAGTTGCGACAAGGTGTAGATTCTTTCTTTGGGTTGGTTCACCTTTGAGGTTTCCTTGGTCAAGACTCAAACTTTGATAATTGATATTAATTCTCTGCTAGGATACTTCAATTTATGGTTTATGAGAAGCAACAGAAGCTTAGAAAGAATGAAAATGCAGAGAATTGTAGGTAATTTCGTTATCTCTGGTTTATGAGAAGCCACAGAAGCTTAGAATCATAATGAAAATGCATGGTCTTGGAGATGGGCCTTACTGGATAATTTCCTACACTTATTTTCTTTGTATCTCATTCATTTACATGCTATGTTTTGTGATATTTGGCTCAGTCATATATCAGACTGCACTTAATTTATCGCTTATATTCTTTACTTGTTTCAGGTTGCTTTAGCCAAATTCACTTCCTTGCAGGGTTAAAATTTTTCAAACTGAATGACTACAGCATCCAATTTATGTTTTATCTTGTCTACATAAATTTGCAAACTTCATTGTCTTTCCTAGGAGCTTTAGTGTTTTCAAACATGAAGACTGCTACAGGTAATGATATTTGTTAATTGTCATGTTAAAACTTAGAGTTAAATCTTAATTTTTCTTAAACAACCAGCTAAGTAACAAGATCTTATGAATCATCCTCAACCGAATTTTGAATACAATAACAGCATACATAGGTGTCTTTGGCACTGGGATCATAGGGAACTATCTTTTCCTATGCTTTGTTGAGGATGCATCATTCCCTAGTAAGTGAAAGTTAATGTTCAAACGAGACCTGTGATGCATTATTCAAATGACTCAAGGGACATAGTCATTTGACTCAAATACATGTTTGTGGTTTTGGTTTGAGTTGGCTTACAGATGTTTCTAACTTTCTGTCTACAAGTTAAATTTTATTTGTATATTATATTTGTTATATTTTTCACATTTATACTTTTGAATCTACCTTTTGTGAGACTTGTTTTTCATGATTGCGGGGAACTGGATATTTCTAATGGAGTTATATCCGGGGTTTTCTTTAACTCGTGGGCTGTATGAGTTTGCACAAGCTTCTTTCATTGGGAAATACTTAGGGACTAAAGGGATGCGGTGCGGAGATTTAGGTGATCGCCAATGGAATGAGAGAGGTCTTGATCATTATGCTTGTTGAGTGGTTGATGGTGCTTGTCCTTGCATATTTTATGGATACAGTTTTATCAGTGGGAAGTGGAACAAGTACTCTAATTTTCTTGAAATTTTTTTGGAAAAAGCTGCTGTTGTCCTTTCAGAAGCCTAGTTCTAAAGGGCAGAGTCCTAAACTTGGAGTTCAGGTGGAGAAAGCTGATTTCAGTAAAGAGGTAAATTTCTCTTGTTTGGACAGTTTTGAAGGGGATCAATAAGCATCCTATTTGCAAGACCTAATAGGATCTATGCAGGAAGACCAAAGGAGAAAAGAAATTGAACATAAAAACTACGACAATGATTTTTAATTCTCACTATCAAATAGGCCACACTAGGGGCAATTATAAAGGATAACCTAGTATGTAGGCAGAATAAACTTGGATTCTAATAAATTTAACTCCCTAATTGTTATAGTAAAGCTAAAACAAACAATTAGCACCATGTATGTCCTTTAAGTTGTTTTGACTTTTAACTTGCTCAGGTTTTGCAGCTTAATTAGCTGCACTAATAATTTCATTTTTCCTTTCTATTGGGAGAAGGTTGATCAATTACTACTTGAGACAGACACAAAATATGCCGTCGTGACAACCTCAAAAAGGTTTATCCAGGAAAGGACTGAAACCCTGACAAATTTGCAGTGAGGGGTATATCCTTTGCTTTGTGCAGAGGGGAATGCTTTGGTATGCTTGGTCCCAATGGCGCCGGCAAGACCTCTTTCATTAATATGGTATTAATACACCGATTCTGAAAACTTTCTGTCATGTTTTCTTATAGATGAAAAGTGCTGCTTTCCATTTAATCTTTCGAATGAATTTGAGGGGAACTAGGAAAATGCTTTCAAAGATTTTTTTGTTAAGCATATAACTTGGGAGCCACTTTTTCGCTAAGTTAGAAATATCATAGCTGTATGTTCTTTGAGCAATTTTGGGGAGACTAAATGCATTTATTGACAGATGACTGGTCTTACAAAGCCAACATCCAGGAAGGCATTTGTTGAGGGTCTGGACATAAGGACTCAAATGGATGGTGTGTATAGCAGCATGGGTGTGTGCCCACAGCATGAGTAAGCTATATTCTCATCCATGTTTCCTATTTATTAAAAAGTAAAACAATATTATTGTTTCTTTTATTCTGCTGTAATAGTCTGCTTTGGGAAATCCTGACTGGAAGAGAGCACTTAATGTTTTATGGAAGACTTAAGAACCTCAAAGGTTCTGCCTTGACACAGGTAACTCAATAATATGCTTATATTAACATTTCCATGTGAAGATTTGTTGGCCTTTAAGAGCTTCATGTACTTGCCGTAGGATTTGGAGCAGTAATTTGGCAAGTCTCTGCATTTTTTTGTTTGTTAATTTCAATAAATATATGGTAATTGATGACTCTACCTGCAACACTGAAACTTATTTGTTAATGTAGTTTAGAATACTTCCATGAAAAAACAGAAGGAACAAGCTATAAGCTTTGCTGATGAATGGGAGACTTAAAGCCAAAATCTATGTGCTGTTGTGTATATGACTAGCATTTGTTGCTGCAGTCGGTCGAAGACTCTCTGAAGAGTTTCAACCTATTTCATGATGGAGTTCCTGATAAACAAGCTAAAACTTATAGTGGGGGACATGAATAGGAGGCTCAGTGTAGCAATTTCACTCACTGGGGATCCCAAAGTTTGTCTTCACCTTTTCCCAATCTACCTTTGTTTGTGAGATCTCTCTTGCTAACTATATATGTCATGGGGGTACCAGCCTACTTATGGCATAACCTTTTTAATTCTTTCTAGGTGGTTTATATGGATGAGCCTAGTAGTAGTACAGGACTAGATCCAGCTTCCAGAAAAAATTTATGGAATGTCATGAAGTGTGCATTGCAAGACCGGGCAATCATCCTCACCAGTACTCTGTCTCCCTCTCTCTCTCTCCCCGCATTACTTGTTGAACTTGCAAAAATGAGGTGTAACAAGCATTACAGATTATCTGCTTTCTTGTTCCTCTTACTGTTGTGTATTGCCCCTCGGCCCCTTGCACTTAATTTCAATTCTTATTGCTCAACTTGATGCTGTCAATTACATAATGGTCTTGTTTGTTATGTTTCAGCCCATTCAATGGAGGAAGCAGAAGTCTTGTGCGATCGAGTAGGTATTTTTGTAGATGGCAGCCTGCAGTGCTTAGGAAATCCAAAAGAGGTTAATTGACTTCAATGCTTTTATCTTTTAATTGTATTACTCTTCTATTTTGGTTTCAGATTTAGAATTGATCTCGATCATTTTAGTTATCAAGTGAATCTTTTTTGTTGCGTCTCTTCTTCTTGGAATAGAAGCTGCATGTTTAGCCTGCATGATAGATTTTACATGTGAGAATGCACATAGATTTTCATTTGGGCACGAATTTAAGTACAACTTCAATGGTGTACTGTGACAGCTGATAGCTAGATATGGAGGATCTTATGCGTTCATAATAACAACATCTTCAATTCATGAAGAAAATGTGGAGAAATTGGTGCAAACTCTCTCTCCTAATGCTAACAAGATATACCATGTATCTGGAACCCAGAAGTTTGAGCTGCCTAAAACTGAGATCAGAATAGCAGACATCTTCAAAACAGTGGAGATTGTGAAGAGCAGGTTCACCATTTATGCATCAACCTAGCTGATGCTATGTTGGAGGAAGTCTTCATCAAAGTTGCACGCTGAGCTCAGGAAGCCAACACGTAGCATAGTGTTTCTGTACCAGAGTTCTTGTTAGAACTATCTTTGTCAAAAATTTCTTCCATGTGTTAAAAAACTCTTAGCTAGGAACCATTGTTTATAAATGTTTTTTTTTCATGTCACCTACCACTTCTTGTGGTACAACTCAACTCATACACCTCATGTAATGTTGTGGACAATCAGAAAATGGTGTGAAATTTTTAAGGCATCAAAGAGAAGCTGATCATTTAGCCATTGATAATGCTTCAATTAATGATTTGAGTGGGATTTTATTTGTGATGGTTAAGACAGTCAAACGCAACAAATCAGGCATTGGCTGAGGACTTACTAAATTTAAGTTTTAACGAACAATGTTAATTAAAAGAGTGGCATACAAACTCTTGTTTTCTTTTCTTATTTCTTTCCCAAAGAAGTGCATTTGGGGACACAAAGGGTCTAATTTCTGCTGAAGGTTTTCAACTTTGACGCCCTGTTTATTTACAAGTCTACGCTGCCACTTCCATATTGATTTTGGGTTTCTTAGGTATCAAGTTAAAGCTCTTCGGACATCAATGGCGGATGTTGCTGGTCGCCCTGCCAATTTTTGGCTTCAGTCCAATGCTTTGCTCAGGAAAAACTTAACCTTTCAGGTTCTCCTGCAACCAATTAATTAATTTAATTATTTAATTTAGCTCCTGAGTTATGACAAAATATCAACTTAATTAATTTAATTGTTGATGATTTTGCAGAAACGAAGGATGTGTGCCAATATAGCCCTGATTTTAATACCAGCCTTCTTCTGCTCGCTCTTTGCTTTCTTCCAAATCGTTGTGGATGTGTACACGAACAAACCCAATACGAAATGCGGATCGGATCCAGCAGAGATCGGGCATTTTGACGATTCATGTCCAATTCCTAAGCCTCCAGAATGGCCTGCCCTGTTAAAAATACCACAGAATGATTTTCGTGCAGTGAGAAGTGATTTCTTGTCGTTCAAAGACTTGCCCGATGAGTCATGCAGGAAGAAGGGCTCATGTCCTGTCACAATCCTCATGACTGGAACTAATCATTCTTTTGCACAAAGTATTATTTCTTCTCTACATTTTGACATGTTGGTTATTTAATTAACGGGGGAAACGCAAAGCTGGGATAATAGTTGGTGCTTCTAGTATTATTATCGAACGTCTAACTAACATTGATATGTGCACATTTGTTAGCATTGGCTTCGAGCATGTTTTCCGGGTCTTTCCCGGTGAATTCCTCCGGTAATCTTACTGATTGGACTCAAACTGTCATGGTAAGTTGTCATTTTTCTTCCATTTGGTTTTTATTCTTCTTTTTTTTCAATGTGATTAAATAATATTAATTTCGTTTTACGATTGTAATAAAATATGCAGGGTACAGAGTCCCCACTTCAGTCATCCTATATGTTTGATCCTGCGTTCACTTCGCCGGATCCAACTCCCATCTCTAATCTGCAGCGTGAATGCCCTCCCCAGTTATCTACATCATCCGCTACACTTCGAGTATCAACCACCCCAATAAAAAAGGTACTTTTATTTTTATTTTTATAGTTAAACCCTATATTTGTATAATGTATGGTTTCTCTCTCTCTCTCTCTCTCCTCTCTCTCTCTCTCTCTCTCTCTCTTTCTATATGTGTACAAATACATACACAAGCTGTATTGTATACTCTCTGTATATAATGTACGTGGACATTGTGGATATTCGCAGCTGTTGATTGCGTTGACCATACGATAAAGGCAACTTGATGAATGATATCAGTTTTGTTAATTGTGTGTGCAAGCAAAGGTTCACCTTTAACTTTAGTTGCATATATGCAACATACTAAGTTCACCTTTAACGGTGTTTGTCTTGGATGTAGAGGTTACGTGTGTTCAAGCCCTGTATTTGTGGCGCAATAGTTCTTCTGAGATAAACAATGAGCTATACAAGGGTTACATGAAGGGGAATTCAGAGAAGAAGATTAATGAGATACTTTCAGGTTCATTATATCTACTACTTTGATTTATATATGGCTTTAATTAATAATGTTTGATATATGTGATGAATAGGGTATCATTCTTGCAGCTTATGATTTCTCAAACTCAAATGCAAAATCTTATAATGTGACCTTATGGTACAATTCAACCACCCAAGCTGCCGGTGCTAGAGCTTTGTTGCGACTACCACGCACCGTGAACATGGTATTTACATACATACATACATACATGCATACCTACATATGTACCTTCATTTTAACTTGTCCAGATTGTTTTTATATTCACAGGCAACAAATGCCTACCTTCAGTTTTTGAAGGGGCCTAAAACCAAAATTATGTTTGATTTTGTCAAAGAAATGCCCAAGTCTCGAAGTGCAAACAGGATGGATTTTGCCTCTCTTGCTGGCACAATCTTCTTTACATGGATCGTTTTACAACTGTTCCCAGTAAGATTGTTGTTATTAATTCATGATCCATATTAGACATTAATTGTTGCTAAGTTATATTAATCTTCTTTCCGATGTTTCTAACTTGTGGTGTAGGTTGTGTTGACTGCAATAGTTTATGAGAAGGAACAAAGACTGAGAATCATGATGAAAATGCATGGCCTCGGTGACGGGCCTTATTGGATGATTTCATATGTGTATTTTCTCACAATATCTGCACTCTACATGCTGTGTTTTATTGGATTTGGCTCAATTCTAGGTACATATATAGTATTTTGGTAAAGGCTAGCTTTATTTAATTTGAGTTAATGCTTTAATTGACCAACTTAATTACATTCATGCAGGGTTAAGTTATTTCACTCAAAATGACTACTCCATCCAGTTTGTGTTTTTCTTCATCTACATAAACTTGCAAATAGCCCTGGCTTTTCTACTAGCTTCAGTGTTTTCAGACACCAGGACTGCTACAGGTTTGATGTTAGCTTTAGCTACGTTTATTATCTTATGAGATGACTTTGATGATTGAGATTCTTAATTTCCATGATTGATTTGATGATCACAGTTGTGGCTTACATTTTTGTCTTCGGAAGCGGGCTTCTTGGAGCCTTTTTTTTCGAACACCTTATCAAAGATGCATCTAGTAAGTGTAACAAGTGGAGATTAATATTTGTGTTTGATTATTACAAATGAAGTTGTTTTGTATTAATTAATGAATGTTTTAGGAAGCTTGCTGGTTTTTCTGGAGCTCTATCCCGGCTTTTCTCTATATCGCGGGCTATATGAGTTGGGGCAATATGCCATTGAAGCCAAATCCTTGGAGACTCCTGGGATGACATGGGAAAAGTTGAATGATAGCTACAATGGGATGAGAGATGTGTTGGTTATCATGGGGTTTGAGTGGCTTGTGCTGCTTCTTCTTGCATATTACATAGATCAAGTTGTGACATGTGGAAAAGGTCCTTTATTTTTCTTGCAAAACTCTAGGAACAAGAACCCTTCAACTCTTAGGATGCCTACCTTGCAGAGGCAAGGATCTAAAGCTTTTGGTGACATGGACAAACCTGATATTAGTAACGAGGTAACTCAATTTTTGTCTACATTGTGCTATGCCAGACCAATATAATATACGCCGAAATTTTAATACTTCTACTTGCTTAATTTGCAGAGAGAAAAGGTTGAGAAGCTGCTCCAAGATCCAAATGATAAAAGCCATGTTGTCATCTGTGACAATGTCAAAAAGGTATATCCAGGAAGAGATGGAAACCCTGAGAAATTTGCAGTGAGAGGGTTGTCTCTTGCTTTACCTAGAGGGGAATGCTTTGGTATGCTTGGTCCCAGTGGTGCAGGGAAGACCTCTTTTATTGAAATGGTACACTCTGAATCTTTGATTGGATGATACAGTTTCTTCGGAACATCATATGGTAATGGCTGATACAGACTCTTTCCACAGATGATTGGTCTCACAAAGCCTACCTTTGGAACATCATATGTTAATGGCCTGGATATTGTAACTCAAATGAATGAAATATATACCTGCATGGGAGTTTGTCCACAATATGAGTAAGCTATAGATATACTTCTTGCCTGATGTATCTAGGAAGCAGAGTTTTCCCTTCTCTTTTTGTTGGTTCTTTCTTTCAGATCTTTATAATCTAATTAGTTTCATGCTTTCCGGACAAATTTTAGCCTGCTATGGGAAACCCTGACAGGAAGGGAGCACCTACTGTTTTATGGCAGACTTAAGAACCTCAAAGGTTCTGTCTTAACGAATGTAAGTCAGTTCATACATGTTCTTTTGTCAATTAGTCAATACATACATGTTCTCTTCTCATATGTGTTTGTGAGTGAATAAGAGCTTTGTTTTTCCTATTTCCTGTCCCAATTTTGTTGATAAAGGCAGTGGAAGAATCATTGAAGAATCTGAATCTATTTCATGGTGGGGTGGCTGACAAACAAGCAGGGCAGTATAGTGGGGGTATGAAGAGAAGGCTTAGCGTGGCAATTTCACTGATAGGGAATCCCATAGTATGTTTCTCTGTCAAAGCTACTTAATCTGGCTATATGTCTTGGTTTAACTTCCTAAAAAAGTCTGCTGCTACTTGTTGCATTTCTCTAAGTGTTACTTATTCAATGTAGGCTGTTTACATGGATGAGCCAAGTACTGGACTTGATCCAGCTTCAAGAAACACTCTATGGAATGTTATCAAGCTTGCAAAACAAGACCGTGTCATCATCCTAACCAGTTCTCTCTCTCTCTCTCTCTCTCCTCTCTCTCCTCTCTCTCCTCTCTCTCTCTCTCTCTCTTATGTTCTAGTGTTGTTAGTCAAATAACAACATAACATAACTAATAAGCTTGATCAGTTACCTCTTTATAAGTTCACTTACAAAGCAATGCCTGCTTATATCTTCAGCACATTCAATGGAAGAGGCAGAGTTCCTTTGTGACCGATTAGGAATTTTCGTAGACGGTAGAATGCAGTGCATAGGAAACCCAAAAGAGGTAAGACTAGACTAAACTACTAAATCCCATTTCCCAAATCATCTAAAAAATTTGGGACTAGTTAAGACTTAATTTACTGGTTTAGTTGCAACTTTATTAAGTTAACCCCTTGATTAATCTATATGCAGCTAAGGGGCAGATATGGAGGATCATATGTGTTTCAAATGACAACGAATTCAGATCATGAGCAAGAAGTAGAGGACATGGTGATGAACCTTTCACCAAATGCAAACAGAGTATACTTACTGGCAGGCACACAGAAGTTTGAGCTGCCCAAAAATGAGGTCAGAATTGCAGATGTGTTCCAAACCATTGAGCATGCGAAGACTAGATTCACAGTCTATGCTTGGGGGCTGGCTGACACTACATTGGAGGATGTGTTTATCAAGGTTGCAAGTGCACCAAGGAAAATCGAATCAAACGTTTTAAATACAGATTAGTGTCGGATTAATATACGAGTTTACGGTTTAATTAATTTTCACTAATTTGTGATATATTGATTCTTGTAAATGTGTTTTCTCATGTCCCTTGTTGTTGGTTTAGTTTAATATAGCATGTAAATATAGAGTTTCCATACCAAATAAATTTCACACATATTATATTTGGTAGTTTAATGATTGATATTAATTCAAATTCATAAAATTTTAACTTTCAAATTAAGACAAATATAGCAACGAGTGATAAAACCATAGTTTTAAATTTTTTATAAGAACCATAGACAACTAGTGTGGGAAAATGCACGTTAAGAAGTTGCAATCCTATTCGAATCAATTTTGGCTATTAGGTGTTGCAATCCTATTTTCCCAGTGTTCCGAAGCAATTCATGTAAATGCCAAAAGAAAGGGTTAAATGGCATTCATATGACCACTTGCCAAAAAATTGAGCTTTGCCATTAGCCATGAATGTTACATCTTTACTTTATTATTATTTATTTATTTGTTACATGGTGGGGCAAGCCCCAGAAGCAAAGAAAAACGAACGAAGAACACTTTGAGGCAAAGCTCGACTTAATCTATCATCATCCAAAATATGCTCAAGACAAGAATGACATCAAAACTATGCAAAATATGCAGCAGCAAGGTGATCAGCAGCACGATTCTGCTCTCTGTACTCATGCGACAAGTGATATAACCAATCCTTTCCGAGAAACTCTTTACAACCATTAATTAAACTGAAAAGGGGATGTGAGTCCACAACGTCATGTGTGAGCATATGAATCACAGCTTGAGAGTCACATTCAATCTCAAGTAATTTGCAGCCTTCATTCCATGCATGCAAGGTGTAACCCATGAAAAAGGCCCCATAACTCAGCTTCCATAACAGTACCAGAATCGAGATTCACAGTAAAGCCTCAGAGACCCAATTGCCATTAGAGTTTCTCAAAAGACCTCCAGCGCAAATGTGAGAAGCAATAGTGTGAAAACTACCACCAGTATTAAGTTTAATCCAATTTTCAAGGGGATACTTCCACGCCACCATAACATCTTCTCTATGTGGTTTGGTAGAGATGGACCTATTAGCCACATGCCAATCCCTTGCAATGTTAATAGGATTAGATGCGATAATCTGTCCTTAAGATTTATTTGCAGCCAATCTTTAAAGGGGAGGACAAAGGTGTGAGCAACTGAATGTGGAGCACCAAAAGAGTTTCCAAACAGAGAGAGATTTGTTGCAACTTCTGAACAAATGCTCTAAAGTTTCCGATGCCCCATGGCAAAATCGGACAGTTTGCATTGGTAGTCATATTCCGTTCCTGTCTTTGAACATTAGTCAGCAATTTACCTTGCATAATAAGCCAAAACAAGGTTTCCAGGTTAGGCGGTATGTGCAATTTCCATATAAAATCCCCAGGCCAAGGTTCAAGCTCATCATCATCAAATAAAGAAAGATAGGCTGATTTGACAGAGAAATTGCGAGAAGAAGTGAGACCCCATATACATTTATCAGCAGCACTAGACACCAAGCCATCATGGATACTAAAGATTTTCTCAATAATCTCATGTATACTAAAGATTTTCTCAATAATCTCATGTATACTATTTATTAAAAAAAGGATCCCAGTAGCGCCTAGGCGCCCGCGTGTGAAAATAAGTACGGCCGCCCGGCTATACTATTTTTAAAAAAAAGACCCCTAGTATAGCCGCGCGGCTATACTATTTATAAGTAAAAAAACTTCTAGAGATTATGTGCCCACGTGTCAAAACAAGTGCTATACTATTTATAAGTAAAAAAACTTTTAGAGATTATGTGCCCACGTGTCAAAACAAGTATAGCCGCGCGGCGATACTATTTTTTAAAAATACAAATATAACCGAGAGTATCCCTGGATCCTAACAGAGCAGTCCCAAAAAATATTAACTGTATGCCAAAAAAAACTATTGTTTCCTTTCCCTTCCTTTCATGGTTGGCTGTGCTTCCATCTGGTCTTTCCCGGTAACTTCTGCAGGATCAGCTGTGCAAGTGGGAAAAAAAAAGAAAAAAAAAGATGAGTTCAGGTAATAAAATCCCTGGATCCTAACAGATCAATCCTAAAAAAATCTAACTGTATGCCAACCAAAACTATTGTTTCCTTCCCCTTCCTTTCTTGGTTGGCTGTGCATCCATCTGGTCTTTCCCGGTAACTTCTGCAGGATCCGCTGTGCAAGAGAAAAAATAAAGAAAGAAAGAATGAGCTTTTCACACGTGCCTAGCGCAAACTAATTTTTGAAAACCCGAGTATAGCCGTCCGGCTATACCATTTTGGTAAATACGCGAGAATATAGCCGAACTATTTATAATGGAGGGAACGGTGTGCACGTGTCAAAACAATTATAGCCGCACGGCTATACTATTACCAAAATGGAGGTTGAAATTATAAAAAAACCCAACACCCAAAACACTTTATAAACACACCCAAAACCCATCATTACACACACTCAAAACCCATTTATAAACACACCCAAAAAGTTGACTTTGGGGTTGATTTTGGGTGTGTTTCTATGTTTAAATAGTGCTTGGGTTTTTTTATAAATACATGTCTAGGATTGGGTTTATTTATAAATTTGTATAAAAAGAAATACCGGAGTATAGCCGCACGGCTTAAGTTACTGGTTTAGTGGCAACTTTATTAAGTTAACCCCTTGATTAATCTACATGCAGCCAAGGGGCAGATATGGAGGATCTTATGAGTTTCAAATGACCACATATTCAGATCATGAGCAAGAAGTAGAGGACATGGTGATGAACCTTTCACCAAATGCAAACAGAGTATACTCTGCGCACACAGAAGTTTGAGCTGCCCAAAGATGAGGTCAGAATTGCAGAATTTTTTTTCCCTCTATAAATGTAGAAGTTCCAAACCAAATAAAATTCCCACATATTATATTTGGTAATTTAATGATTGATATTAATTCAAATTCATAAATTTTAAATCTCAAATTAAGTCAAATATAACAACGACATATTGCTAAATTGAAATCCAGTTTGTTTCGAAATTTACTCTTATCTCCCCATCTCCAACAAACATATAATCATACCCTTATCCGCTATCAGCAATGATCTTATCTCAATCTTGATTATCTTCTATATATAATTCATCACATTCAAGCATTTGATGGTGGTAGAGGGTTTATTGTTCGCCTACAATACAATGCCTAAGATATCTATCATGTTTTGGTGTTTTCTCTTGCTGCCATTGGTTTTCTATTGTTCTGAGGCAAATCAAAAGGTTGGAATATATGAATTGAAGAAGGGAGATTTCTCTGTGAAGCTGACTAATTATGGTGCAACTGTGCTCTCTGTTGTTCTTCCTGATAAGAACGGTATGTGGGATTGTGACTGCGCAAGTTTTGAATAGTTTTATTTGGTGTTTAAATTTTGCATTCCATGTTTTATAAAATCTGCATATTATGTTCTCATTTGTATGATTTCTCTCATCTTATTTCAGGGAAACTAGACGACGTTGTTCTTGGGTTCGAATCACTTAAAGACTACTCGGTCAGTTCATAAATATGTTTTATCTTCTTTGTGTTTTGATTAAATTAGAATGATTGCCATTGAATGTTAATTGAGTGGTTGCAAGTATTGCAGAATGATTCAGTCTACTTTGGAGCCATTGTTGGACGTGTTGCCAATAGAATTGGAAGTGCTCAATTTAGTTTAAATGGTGTTCACTACAAGTTGGTTGCAAATGAAGGAAAGAACACTCTTCATGGTATGTTCATGATCATTTCATGTTACCTAATCTAAATTTCCAGGACCAATGTTCTTCTCGGAATTTGATTTAAATATTCGATATATAACAGAATTTTCTTGTGATTATATGTCAGGTGGCCTTAAAGGATTCAGTGATGTTGTATGGACAGTAAAAAGTTACATCGAAGACAGTCACATAACATTCACCTATAACAGCTTGGATGGTGAACAAGGTAAAACTTGGACAAGAATTAAGAATGACTGTGGATGTGACTAATGTAGATTGTGCAACACTAACAATGAAATCGCTGCTAATTGTTAATGCAGGCTTTCCTGGTGATCTTGTTGTATCAGTAACATACATGCTTGTTGAGACAAATAAATTAGCCATTAAAATGGAAGCCAAAGCTCTTAACAAGGCCACTCCAGTGAACTTAGCCCACCACACCTACTGGAATCTCCGTGGCCACAACAGTGGTGACATCCTCTCGCACCATCTCCAGCTTTTTGGGTCTAACATCACACCCGTTAATGACCAACTCATTCCCACTGGTGAAACTGCCCCTGTGAAAGGAACACCCTATGATTTCCTCGAGCCCCAAGAAATTGGCAGCAAGATAAATGAGTTGCCTGACGGGTACGACATCAACTATGTGCTAGACCCTTCAAGTTACAAGCATTTGAGGAAGGCAGTAGTGTTGCGTGACAGTGTGTCAGGCCGAAAATTGGAATTGTGGACTAACATGCCAGGGTTGCAGTTCTATACAAGTAACAAGTTGGACAATGTGAAGGGAAAAGATGGATTTGTATACAAAAAACATGCTGCAGTCTGCTTGGAGACACAGGGGTTCCCAGATGCTGTGAACCACCCAAATTTCCCTTCACAAGTTGTGAAACCAGGAGAGACTTATTTGCATGTTATGGTTTACAGATTTACTGCTGCCTAGAGCATTTTACATGTTATGGTTTATAGATTTATTTGCATCTTTCATGTTTACTGCTTCTAGTAGTGCTCTTATATATATAGCTGGGGATTGTGCAGAGAAACATGCCCACCATGTTTGCTTAATTCAATGCAATTATATAAATAATTTTATCATGCCATGGTGGTTCTTCTCCTGCATATGCTTATATTATTATGAAAGGACCAAATTTTAAAACCTATAACAAAAATAAAAGGAAACCTGAATCAAATTTAGAACACTAAAAGCTTTAACAATACCAACTCTTACGATTGTCATTTGATTGTCAATTATTTCAATTTTGGGTTGTATTCAGGGAATGAAGTTTATTGCAGATTCTACGTCACTTATAGAATGTCCACGCATAATTTAAGGGGGGGAAAACATACTTCTATATGAAATCAGAGATTTTTCAGTTAATAGGTGACACTTTTGTTCTTGGGCGACGGTTTTTGATCTGTTGCAGCGGTTTTTGTACTTTTCCTGACGATTTAAATGCCTCATTTATTGAAAACGTATTTAGAAGCGGTAAAAACCGTCGCTAGCCGTTGCTATTTCTATTTTTATTGAGGATCAAGAAAACCGCCGCTAAAGGTCCGCAGACTAATTTAAGCTTCTCCTCACCAAGTCAGGAGGCGTAGAAGAGAAAATAAAAACCGTAATAAACCTCCTTTTCATTCTCTTTATATTTATGTACAAATTACATGAAAACAATATTAAATGTGTACGTCCAAATTATTACTTGGATACTTGAAAAAGACCCAATTTCTTAATCAAACTACGATGAGATGGGAAAATAAAAGTATTCAGTGCAAGTTTCTCACACCGCTCCTTTGTAAATGTGATCCCTATTCCTCTACTACATGCTAGCAACTTCTTGCTTGCAACGTTGCCTAATCCTTCATTGCTTGTAACATTGGGTGATCCTGAGACTGCTACCTCTAAACATCCCCTGTGCTTCTTCAACCATTTATATGCTACAAACTGCATCCAAGCAGCCATTGCACCTAAAGTTCACAACATTAGATGGAAAATAAAAAACTGATGTCAAACTCAATAAGTGATAGAACCAAAGTTTAAATTTTCGACCATAAGACAACTTTTTTTATAATAAACCATAGACAAATTTTCGACATAAATGTCACGCCTATCAAATATACCAGGTCCAAAGGAAATTGCTCTACAAAATTTCCCTTCCCCATCATGGAAAACATGTTGAAACCTCAGTTTGAAATAACAGTTAACGCAAACTTTACCAAAGTACATTTCTAACCATAGCCCATCGATTTTGTCCCCAAGATTTAACTTTGTTATGCAGCAATGACAATTAACGAAAATGTTGGGAAAGGATTCAATGAAAAACAACTATAAATTTGTAAAGGTGTTTGTGTCTGTGCACACATGAGGTCAGTGTTCATAAGCACAACAGCTGACTCAATAAGCCAAGCTTTGTTCAGGTAACATTAAGTACACTAATAGAACATTATGCTGCATGTGATGCTTGCAACAAATTAGGTCTACACTGACAACTGAAAGTCATTTGAAAATAATATTAAGAATAACCACAAAACAGAGCTGATACCTTTGACCCCAGTATTTGCAATCTTGTTTTGATCACATCCAAGGGAGTTGCAAGATATGTCATAAAGCCTGAAGAATACAAAGCAAGTATAAATCAACCTACAGAAAATTCTGAATTCGATTTTAAAGACTTACATAGTATAAGCAAGGTACATACCACCAGCCAATCCTCCTAGTATAGTCCTAGAACAGAACTATCAACATGGAAATTTGGATTGTGTACGTATTTTTGCTTCCCATACTCTGTCAAATATGTCAAGCCTTCATAGAACATAACCTACAATAGTGCAGACGAAAAGTTTGAGACAAAACCATTCTACTAGAAATAAGAACCAGAGATTATTAAGGAAATAGCAACATAATAATGAAACTAAATCATATTGAGGCCAAAAGCCTAACTGCCTTATGATTCACCAACGACCAAAAGAGAGTATGTTTGATATTTCAATGTTGGGACTAAACAAAACAAAACAATAAACTAGTGTGGGAAAATGCATGTTAAGAAGTTGCAATCCTATTGGAATCAATTTTGGATATTAGGTGTTGCAATCCTATTTTCCCAGTGTTACGAAGTAATTCATGTAAATGCCAAAAGAAAGGGTTAAATGGCATTCATATGATTACATGCCAAAAAATTGAGCTTTACCATTAGCCATGAATTTTACATCTTTACTCTGTGATCACACCTGACTTGCACAAAGAATAGATGGCTCTGAATACATGTCTTCATCATTCCTTCCCCAAATTCCCTAGGAATGGTTCACCTCAGAAACTCCCTCCAAACTATATTGACAGATCAAAAACTCAATTACTAACTTCCCACAAGTCCAAACCTCATAATCAAACAAATTTTAATACCCACATTGACATATACGATTATGTATTCACTCAATATCAAAAACTTCATCACAAAGAAACATACTTCTTTCCTTACATTTCTAACGCTGGGTGAATTAGTTTCTTTACTATTGAAAAATAAAATAAAATTTGGGAGTTTTCAGCTGCTTCAAATTTCAAGTTAAGCCCATATCTAAAAGTCAATGCTTTACCATCCTGATATTTAAGAGTCAAATTCTTTCTAATCTTTTGAAATGTCTCGCCATTTCTATGCCATAAGATGCTTATAATCGAAGTGGGAAATCAGAGAATTGGAAGACTTACCAAAGAAAGATTGGTGGGGTTGTGTTCGAATGGGATAAGGGTTGAAGAAAGTACTCGAGAGAAGTGACGACTGTGAAAGCCCAAAAATTTCCTCACAAGCTCGCCGCCGATCACATCTCGAGCAGTCCAATCGGCCTCTGGCTAATGAATTTTTGGATCGTCGGATGCGGTTACCGTTAGTGTTCATATGAAAAGTCTATAATACCCTCAATGTTGTAAGTGAGCTGTTAGGGTAGACACGACATTTTATATTCTTCATATTTGTAAATAGACCCCACAGTCTGTTGGCGTGTAATGAAAAAATAATTATCAAATGACCCCAAGCTTTCTTCTTTTGTTCTGTTATGTTCTTCCACCTTCCAACTCACTTCCAATGGCAAACCAAACTAACTTAACCCGTATGTCAACGAGATCTAGCCCAGTAAAAAATGGCATTCACTTGCATATCAGTGTCTTTGGTCTTATTAGCGTGTGTGTGAGAAACCCCTCTCTTTTGTAATCAAGCCAAAGCCCAAGTCAGAAATTCAGGTTGGACATTTCTGTCATTAACCCAACAAGAGGAAAATTGTACCAACCATGCACCAAATTGGCTGGTACAAAAAAACTTAGCCAGAAATTGATCATCACTGAAGAAGATGGCTGGTGGTACCTCCAGATTGCAAAATTTTGATACCAAACTCTTCACCAACTACTTGTACCCAAAAAAAGAGAAGAAATATAAATCAAGAAAAGAATAGTATACATCTCAACAATGTAAACTTCTATACACATTCTTGATTCTACATCAAGAACTTGACTATTCTGCAAAGAATTTATAATCACAAGAACTATCAAAACAATGAAACAAAAATTACATAAAATTGTCATGAGAATTCGACCGGCATCTCAAACCGGCACAACGGACAGAGGTGACTCTTCTCCAGCCAGTTCACTATGCAACTCTCATGGTAGACATGAAAGCAAGGCATGCGAGTGGCTTCAGAACCATTTACAATCTCTTCCAAACATATAACACAAGGCTTTGCACAGCCTTCAACTTTCACCTTCTCTAGCTCATCAATTGCTGACTTTCTTGCGCGCACCGACTGTAACACATGGTCAGAAATTTCGGGTTCGTCTTGGTCCTCCAAGAATGGTTCTTGTCCAACTGTGAGGGACACCAGTATCGGAATGGTGTTTCGGTTTGCGTTCTCAGGCTCACCGGCAATCTCACGAGCACGAGTAGAAATCGTGTGGATCATGAAGGGCTGAACATGATAGGGAACCAGTATCTGAGTAAGCATGTTGGATATCACAGACCAGGATGTTCTGCTCTCTGTTAAAAGGTGACATTGCTCCTTGAACTTATGGAAGTGTAAAGTAGACCTTGGAACTAGAGGGTAATCGTCTTCCCTTGTAACGGAAGCAAAAATCTCAATCAAGAACTCGGGTTTTCTTGAGTAGAGAAAATCTTCTTCCCCAGGTTCGAAATTTTCTGATTGCCATACTTCACAACTCGAAAAGGCTCTGTAGCTTGACATCTTTGAAGAAGTAGACAAAAATTACAAGGGCAAAGAAAGAAATAAGGGAAAACGCTCTCATATGGGGGCTATTGATTGCTGATGCCTAGTATTTATATTGTCTGTAAATTTTGCTAATTCGGTTCGATTTGTATTGCAAAGCCTCTTGGTTTATGGATAGGAGTGACTTTGAAGTTAAGGATAAAACTTGTTAATTAAATTTGATCGTTATGTCTGTGTCATACTTGAAAAAGGTTTACTGATTTATGTAGGAATAGGGTTATCTTAAATTTGATTTTAGCTACTCAAATTCTGTAACTTCATTTTTCTAATAAAATTACATTAAAACGGAAACCCTAAATAAACCAACCTCATCCAAAAAAGTCAAAGTTATTAAATTTGAAATCAAAATAGTGCGCTCATTGGATTTACAATTCGATTGAACTGCTACCGGGATCTTGTTTTACAACTCCCTTCTCTTTCATCTCCTTTCTTATCTCTTTGACATTATCCCATTCGGCCACGGCGGCATACAAATTTGACAGCAGTCCATAGTCTCCGCTACTTTTAGGCCCGGTGTCATGTAAATGGTTCATAATCTGACTCGCTAGACTAGCATCTCCTTGGGCTTGACATGCCCCGAGCAGCATGCGCCATATTATTGTATCTGGTTTATCTGGCATGTTTTGAACAAACTCAAATGCCTCGCTTACCAATCCAGCTTTGCATAGGAGATCAACCATGCAACCGTAGTGCTCCATCCATGGTTTCATGTGAAAATCATTTATCATTGAATTAAAACACTTTCTCCCCTCGTCCACCATACCGGCGTGGCTGCAGGCAGATAATATGTTGAGGAAGACAATCCCATCTGGCTTAAAGCCCTCTTTTTGCATCTGAGATAACTGAGCCAGAGCTAACCTTCCAAGGCCGTGCATCGCTAGCCCTTGTATTATAGTAGTCCAAGACACTAACGACTTCTCCGGCATCCCATCAAAAATTTGACAAGCTTTCTTGATGTTCCCACTTTTGGCATGCATGTCCATCAGTGCATTTGACATGGCAATACTCCCTGTTCTAAATCCATTCCTCTCAATATAATGGTCAATCCACTCCCCGAGCTTGAAGCTTTGTAACTTGGAGGACATTGAAATAACACCCAAAATGGTAACCTCATCTGGTCTTATATTCTTAACGTTCATCTCTTCAACCAGAGCCAAAGCCTCCTTCAGATAATTGTTCTCACTAAAACCATTGATCATAGAAGTCCAAGAAACCACATTTCTTATAGGCATAATCTGGAATACCCGGCTAGCATTTGATAAAAACCCACATTTTGAATACATACTAACCAAAGCATTGTAAACAAAAACATCATGATTATCAAGAAGGTGTCCTCTAATCGCATAGCCATGAACTGCCTTCCCTTGCCTCAAGGCCTGCAAAGACGAGCAAGCAGAAAGCAAGCTAACAACACTTAATCCATTTAGTCTCAAACCGTCACTGGCCATGGCACTGGCAACTGCAAGTGCCTTATAAGGGAAATTGTGCTGAGCATATGCTGCAACAATAGAATTCCACATAATTAAGTCCCTCTGAGGCGTTTCATCAAATACTTGTTGCATATATCTAAGCTCACCAAAAACACCATACATATTTAGAAGGGCAGTTTGAATTATGATCTCAGAGACAAAACCCAGTTTCAAAATGTGGTTATGTAACTGTTTCCCTTCAAGAACTATTGGCATAAGCCGGCATGCCTTAATAGCAAACTGCAGGGTATAACTATCCACCTCCAGACCCTTTCTTCTCACATGGGAATAAAACAAAAGCGCTTCTTTTGGATGATTTCCGGCCAAATAACCTCTGATAATGGTGTTCCAGGTGTAGGTATCGAGACCATCTACTCGGTCGGCGATCAAACGGGCAGTGAAATTTGTGGCGGGGAGGGCAATTAAGGCAAAAGATGAAACAAGTTTGCTTGCTATTGGAAGGTTGTAAACGAGGCCTGTAGTAATTATACGTGCATGGATTTGATGGAGTTGGTCTCTCTGTTTGCATTTTTGCAAGAGTGAAGTTATATCTTGAAATGGGTTATGCTTTAATTTGACGATGGATGGTTTGGGAGACATAAGATTTGAGTTTCAATTCTTGAAATGGTTATGATTTAACAGAGAACTTGGGAAAACAAAAAAATACAGGGGCCCGTCTTTAAGTAGTTAAGTTTCAAGTCCTCCTCCGTTAAGCAGTTGAGCAACACTATTTTAACTCTCTCTCTCTCTCTCTCTCTCTCTCGTTCCTTTGAAATGAAGTGATTGCGCGAATGAATTTTTAAGTTTGAAGGATGGTTTCAAGTCCTCCTCTGTTAAGCAGTTGAGCAACACTATTTTAATCTCTATCTCTCTCTCTCTCTCTCTCTCTCTCTCGCTCTCTCTCTCTCTCTCTCTCTCTCTCTCTCTCCTTTGAAATGAAGTCATATTGCGCAAATGAATTTTTAAGTTTGAAGGATGTTTTGCATCCTGCAAAAGGGTCTGGCATACGAGCAAATAACAGTCCCGGACATATGTAAGGGTCAAGCATATTATAAATTGATCAAATCTTTGGAAAGGGCAACATGAAATAACACTCCTATGGTCAATCACTATAAAGCCAGAATTTTCACCATTGACACAAATACAAAGATAATGGCAATCCATCACTAACAGAAAATATTGAGGAATTCTGAAGTCTCTGAATAAACAGTGCATGCAATTTGAGTTCAATGAGCAGAGTGAGCGGCAGTTGTCTTCTTGAAATCAATCTTGTCAACCTTAACCTCCCCGTCAATGAGTTCATACACGTAGACAACGACACGAAGGCCATCAATGTCCATGAGGACAAAGCTTGGGTTGACATCATAGGTGATGCTGCTAAAGGCGCCGCTGGCAGACCCTGGGTTTATGACGACGCCTCCTTCATGTTTGTAGGCTGTGAACTGATGGGTGTGACCTGTCACAAGGATATCTACGTCCAACTGCCTTTGAAGCATGGCTAGTGAGTCTAGGTCCCCCCATGGAATAACCTACATAACATCAAAGCCAATTACGATTTCATGATCACTGCCTGAAATATGGTCAGATAAAAGGGCAAAGCAAATCCTTGAGATAAATTTCTCTTATCACCATCAAATTTAAAATGAATGAGATATGCCAAATGTAAACACTGTTACGGTACCACATCTAATTACCTCATTCCAAATAACAGCATTTTAGAACTACTTACACTCATTACAAAGCAGCAATCATTCTCTTGGATAGAGGTACTGATTTACTCGAAGTCTTTCAGGAGCTAAAATTCCATTTGCTACTCTTAAAAGGAACTTTTCTAGATCAAATAAACAGATGAACTAATGCAAATTATTATTGGTCTCTTCCCAAGAATTACTGGACATGTTTCAAGTATTATTTATTCTTATGCGCTAAAAAAAAAAAGTATTCCTCCTAGTCTTTTTTCCCACTGTCTTCTCATTTTTTGCCTAAAAGTGCAAGAAAGTGTAATCTGCTTTATGTTGAAGGCATTGTTGAATGAGGAGAATCTAAAAATGGGCATATGATGAATTGACATCATAAGCTTATTATAATAGTAACTGAGGGTAAGGAACTCGTACACCAGCATAAGTATTTGATCCAAACAACCAGAATATTACTTGGTGTAGATTATTTAAACAGGGCAAGATCATCTGCTTATTGACAGGTCAATCCAAATTCTTAAGATACTAAAACATAATTACTTGCTCACCAATACATATAGAAATAAGTGAAGAGTTAAAGGGGAAGCAAACCTGGTGGCCATGGCACAACCCGAGCTTAAACTGACCAATAGTTAGCGTTTTGGTCTCTGGATATCTTGTCTCTTCATCATACTCACCTCGAGCAATATGCAAGTCAGGACAAAGGGTCTTCAAGTAGTCATGAACTTCCTGAAATCATTAGTAACAAATTTCTGAGAAGTGGCATAATGTACAGCCAAATTAATTTGTTAATTGAAAAACATATTTCTATAGTAGTGCTGCTACAAAAATTAAAGGTAAATCATTAGCAGTTGCATGAGCTGTTACAATACTTGAGATATGTCTAAGACCAGGCAGATAGGATGACACAAATACATCACAGATTCGCAATATCGGCCAAAGTCTGTGCAAGAATCTAGCAAATGAATCAATTCCAACCAACTGTATAAATCAACCAAATGAATGTTCTATCCAAGAATCTAGCAATTCCAACAAGGTACATGCAGACATTACCCAATCAAGCGGTGGCTAGGTAGAAATTCATGGAATTCAGAATAAACTAATACATGGTTGGATGCATACCATCTCCTATAGTTGTATCAAATTGCCACTAGTTTGATGAAATTATTCTTGATACACGTCTATACAGCAACATGCACATAAGTTTGGCAAGAACCCGGATAGGGAATGCCGTTCCTATATGTAAGATTTTATTTTCTGGGATACCAAACAAAGAAAAACACAGTAAAACTAACTCAAAGATTGGTTCGAAATGTAAATTAAGCTAGACCCAGTAAGGAAAACTGAAGGAAATCAATGAAGAACTGGCAGAAACATGAAAAGAAACATACTTTGATACAAAGGTTTCCAGTGCAAATGATGTGCTGGATCTTGCCAGGAACAAGCATGGACTTGAACTTGGCAGGTAGATCAGGTGCCCTGTGGGGTATGTGTAAATCCCCCAAGGCCAACACCAACACCATCCTCACTCAGTCTCACCAATAACTTGAAACCCACTTCAGAAATCTGCGAAAATACCCAAAAATAAAATGAAAAATGAAAAAGAATAGATTTACATATGAATCAAAAAGATTCTTATTCACATGAACAAATTAATCAGTGATTGCATCAATAATTGTAAAAAAAACAAATACAAACAACTATTTAAGAATGAAAAAAATGGGATTAAAGAGAGTTGAGATCGTACCAGAAGGATTTGATGATCTTTCACAAGCTTAAGGCATGGAAATTGCAAAACCTCCCTTCGTTGTTGACGGGCTCTGAATTTCTTCTTCTTTTTCTCCTTGGAGTAATGTTCTTTTTTGTCAACGAACGTCTAAAACCACACGACGTCGTGTCGAGCCATGGGGCGGGGAATTTTTTGTCTAAAGTCCCCAACCCAATGAACATATGTCTTGGGCTATTGAAATAATGCTAATGGGCCAAATTATGGACTGGACTGTTGCTTTGGGAGATAATGGGCTATTTATGTATAACGGAGTGTAGTTTTTGTATTATTTTTCAGGATCAACTACGTATAAGCCTCGAATTTTCGGGATCATTTCATATTCATACCCGAACTTGTAAGATCGTACAAACGGGTACCTAAAATCACAAAAAACCTGCAAATTCACCCCTCTATTAGGTACACAGTTAGTCAATCTATTATATATACGTTTACGTGGCACAAATAGTGCTCGAGATTTGGAAAGGCCAACTGGTAGTCACTTACCTTCTTGATCATGATGATGAGGTTGTCACAGAGTCGAGGGGCTTTGGGTAACCGTGGGTTTAGGTTAGGTTGAAGAGTCCATCACAATTGAGGAACATGGTGAAATGCTAATGAGAAAAGAACGAGTCAAAGGTATGAGGATCTTTGGGTAACCGTGGGTTTAGGTTAGGTTGACGCACTGACAGACTCAGCTAATGACAAGCCTTGTCAAACTCTCTCCTCATACCTTGGTTTCTTTAATGTTTTAACCCCTATATGGTCCTGTTTGAGCCTAAGTAAATCCACCCAAAAGAGCGAGAGTTCACATGGATTAGTGAAGTCCCAAAGCGGGGTTGATAAGCCAAACGATGGCAGCCAAAGTCCAAGTCGGAGTTTACACTCCTAGTCGGGATGGCTGCCAAAGTCCAAATCAGGATTTACATTCCAAGTTAAGACCAAAACCCTCTATAAAAAATAAATAATAAACAAATGAAGAAAGTGGAGTTCAAAGTCACCAAGTGGCTAAAAGTAGTAATAATGAAACAAATAACATATATATATATATATATATATATATATATTACATAGGTTGTGAAGAAAAGTGAGGCCTTACGGCCTAGTAATTACTCAAGGGCTATTAGTTGGTTTGCACCATTTTTAACAATCTCAAGGTTGGAAACTAAAGACCAAGTCGGGTTGAAAACCAAAGTCCAGGTTGCCAAACTCCAAGTCAGGTCGACGCAAGGCAAGACCTATAAGAGTCATGATGTTCCACTAAGTCCAGGCTCAACCCATGATGTTAGGATGGGAAATTCCAACAAAAGTCTCTAAACAAGTGACAGAGTTCAAAGACGAAATGATTAATTGCCAAAGACTTATTGCATCTCAAATCAGGAGAAGAGTTCTACAATTCCAATGTCATTTCATTGACTAACCAGATGGGTTGGTGGTGGTTGGGAAGTTCTCATTAAATGCCTAGAGCTCCATAAGGCATTAATCTTGTAAGGTTTTTCAATGAAAGCTAGTTTAGGTCATTTAGTGGCCAAACCCATGAGCTGAAGAAAGCTCTATAACTAGCTCCTCAGAAGAAGAGGAAAGGACCTCCGACTCAAAACACAAAACCTATATTTTTATCATGCACTTTTCAATTCCTAGTCTAGGATTTTATCTTTCAAGCACTTTATTAGATTATCCAAGTTCTTCATTTTCCTAGTGTAAGCTTACTTTCTTGCAATTTACTTTCAGTTGTCTTTAAATTCAAGTTTAATTCCAATTTTTATCGCGTTTACATTATTGTCATTTTGTTTCTTGCATTTACATTCATTGCCACCATAATCCGGCAACTCTCAAAACAGCACAAAGCCCAAAGAACTAGAACCATGAAACAAGAAGGAAGAAGGTCGTGCAAGCACCTAAGTCGTAGCTATGCCGTAGCTCTACACATCTTCCAAGATGTTCGCGAGAAATCGCTTTTCGGATTAGTTGTTGTAACCAAGAGATGAATCCAGATTGAGAGGGGAGAAAGAGAGTTTGAGTGATAGCTAACATCAAACAAAAAACTTCGTCTCCACTAGATTCGAAATCACCAATACACCTAGAAGAAAACAACAACCAATTGAAAGACAGTCAAGGGAAAACATTGAAAGGATTAGAATGGTGGAGATCTGGGGAAACTAGCAAGATTGGAGGCATGAAGCCTTAAATCCAAGTAAGAAAACTCGATCAAGACACTAGCTCTCAAGAATGAGAGAGCTTCAGACCCAGCGAAATGGGTAAAGCCAATTGCTACAAGAGGGACCTTGAAAGATACTCAAAACTAGGGGTGGACGCAGTTCGATTCTCACCTCAAACTGGAATCGATACTATTTAACCAGTCCAATTTAGGCAAAAAAAATTTCAAGAACTGGCCGGTTCAGTTCTGACCGGTTCCGATTTTGAACTGGATTATTAATTTTTAAATTTTTTTTCAAAATTTTTTTTTTACAAAAATTTATAATAAATAAATTATTTTTTTGGCTTAAAAATTAACAAATAATCCAATTCATACATTTAGAAAATTTTTAAGTTGAACTTGGAAAAATAGTGGTTATAAAATTTAAAATATGGCATTAGATTTAAAAAATTTGTAATTAAAAAAAAAAATATATATATATATATATATATATGAGACCGGTCCGGTTTGGTGCAGTGTGGTGTAAAATCGGAACCGAAATTGGTTCAGTTCAATTTGTTGACTTTTTTGGTCAACCGATTTTTTTCACCGGTTTGGTTCGGTGTTCCGGTTTTTCAATCCTGATGTCCACCCCTACTCAAAACAGGGTTGAGAAACAGGAGGGAAGGGGAGGGGTCGTGACCTCTTCCCTCTTGGTAAGGTGAAACGGCACTAAAACGCTCTCTCAAAAGCTAGGGTTTTTTTTCCCCTTCAGTTTGTGTCTAGCCCAAGAAATTAACTCTAGAACAAATAAGGAAAGACAAGTGCATGGACCAACAATAAGCCAGAGGCCCAAGGTTTGCCTTTTATTTTTGGGTCAATATGAAAATGAAACTTTGAAATGTATTTAACGAAATGAACATTATATTAGAATAATTGATTAGGATAGTATGTTGGTCCTCTTTTAAATGAGTTTGAATTTCCTTCCACAATTAATAGAGTAGTTTAAAATATTGTGTTGTGAATAAAAACAAAGAACATTTCAATTACAACCCACAACTCTCAACACTCGATTATGGGCAATGGTAATTTAGGTATCCAATTCGACCTCAATACCTAGATGACCCCTTGCACGGAATCAAAACAGACCTCCAAACCATATCTCATATGGCTTCAGTGGCGGAGCCACTCCTAGGCCTAGAGTGGCCCTGGCCCCACTAGATTTTTATCCCTCCTCTATTATATTATATATAATATATATAGAATTTGTAATAAACAACTTATAATTTAAGTTAAAATTTCCTCTAAAACAAATTAAACATGACTCAATTAGAAATATTTAGCTCTAAACATGTAATTATTGAATACTTAGGTGTTTTATATACTTGTATTTTCTACTTTGGTCCCCCCAACTTTACAATTCTAGCTCAGCCCTGTATGGCTTTTGCATCATCTGTTAGGCTATTGTGGAAGGTTTGTGTCACTATTGGGAAATCAATTTTATAACTGAAAACGATTTTTCAGTTATTTGATTGTAAGCGTCAATGAGACTTGATCTGAAATATATAATTTGGAGAAGAGCCCAACTGAAAATTATAATACTTTGTTCACAAAATGGATGAAGAGATAGAACCAAATATATATATATATATATATATATAAAGTGTAGTACTAACTTTCCTTATTGATTCTTGCATGGTCAATATTCAACTATTACAAATAATGAGAAAAATGCATGGGAGCATATTAATTATAACAAATAATATTTGAGAAATTTTGTTAATAGTATAGGTCAAAAAGGTTTTGCCCTTTCCCCCATATATATAGAATTTGTCTAAAACTGAACAGTTTTGCCTGTCCACATTTGTTTATTATATATATATATTTGACCGAATCCAATTCTTTTTTGGGTCTCAACTTATTATATCTCTCATTGTGTTTGATTAGAATAGGCAATCTATATTAAACGAAATTGTTAGCTTTTTTTCTCTTTTTATAAATTCGAATAATATTACAGAAATAAATAGACGATTGAAAATTGAAATATAATACATGTGAATCTCACAATAAAATCCCTTAAATAAAATTTATTTATAAATTCCGCAATTGAAACTCCGTGTGTATATTATATATGATTTAGTAAAATATTGATTTACTCAAATGGGATAACATAAGAAATTAAAGAATTAACAAATGTCATTGTCATCACAACCCCCAAGCCCTCCGCATACGTTTCGGTCACGTCATTAATTATCCATGAGTATGCAAACAATTTCTTGTCTAGAGGTTGGATGTGGAACGCTCTTCACGCAAGAATTACCAATAATCTTTAGTCGAGACGACTGGAAAGCGAAAAAGTCAATGTTGCTTTGCTTATCTCTTGCAGCTTTTGATGCTTGTTTTGATGATGGATGGATATATAGAAGCCAGAAGTTGCACCCATGCTCGAATTAATTAAACAAGCCAACTACAATACTGTACGAGCACAGCTTGGCTCCTTAAAATTAAAGAGGAGCGCTTTTCCTTCGTCCTAAGGAGTCAAGCTTTTCTCACAATGTTAAAACGTTTTTTTCTTTCTTACTTTCCAATTAGGGTTTAGAAAATATCCAAACTGAATTAGGGTTTCTATTAATTTGCTAGTCACAAAAGGCTAGTAACATATGGACAAGATATATGAGAGGCTCAAATAGTTGTAAGAACTGATCGAGTCCTTTTATTATATCAACTCCTTAATTAACCAGTAAGTAGTACACAGCTTCGCAAAAGGATCTTCTAGAGACCGTCATAATTTTAATCTACTGAACAAAAACCCTAGAAAAACATAGAGAGAATAGACCAGAGAAGAAAAACGACCGATCGATCGATCGATGCCCCTATTACATAATTAAATGATGATACTCTATTAATTAAAGTAATTAATGATAGCCATCCTTCCTTCTATTGCGAAAGTAAGCTCCTGATCACAGCAGCTTGGGCACTGTCAGTTGTTGCCAAAAGCTCAGACAGCCTCTCGCTTAGATCATCCACTTCCCTGTGCAAGCTTCTTATATAGTTGCACGTTTCCTGTAGCACCGTAGCTGCTGAAGCCTGGGTCCATATATATAATTCATTTTTAATTATTACTTGAAAAGTATTTTTATATATACCTCTGTTATTTTCTTTTTACTTCTTCCAAAAATTTGTGGAACTTTTGCTAGAATTAAATTAAGGGAGAAATAGATGGAACAACCATATGAAAACGCGCCCCACAATCAAATCAATCTCTACTCTCTCTCTTCTGTTTTTTCTTGATCAAAATATTAAAATATTGTAGCGGCTGCTTTCAATTACAAACTACTTGACTCATTAGCATCATTATTAGCTTAACCTTTTTGCTTTTCTTTATATGGAAAGAAACCACTTAATTCTGAATTGTTTAACTAGATCAAGTCTGTTTTCCCTCTTTTGATAGAGATCTCATATGAAAGAGAAGCCGAACCTAAGAGAAAGAAAAAGAAAAGAAATAGATAGATATATGTACCTTGTCAGAACGTCTACTATTACGAATCTCGGGAAGAAGCTGTTGCAACTTCGAAACGAGATCATTAATCTGATCGTCCGAGATTCTTGCACCACCTGATTGCCTAGATCTTGACCTTCTGCTGGACATGTTCTTAAGTATAAGGTGTAAATGGAGTCTAAAATACTCAAAGAGCAAGAAAGTTGGTGATGACACTCAAAGGGACAAATGAGAAGGAATTTATAAGTGTCCGGGCTTTTAAGTGCATGAATATCAGCAAGAATCAAAAGGTGGATATTCAACTTTAGAAAGCGTGGAAAGAGAGAAAATCGTGAAGACAAGTTGTGGAGCTAAGTCCTTGGCGCTTTGAAACTGAACATGTGAGAGAGAGAGAGAGAGAGAGAGAGAGAGAGAGAGAGAGAGAGAGAGAGAGATGGGTTAGGTGCAGTACAAAAACAGAGTTGTGGGATGTTGGGTAATGTTGAAGACAATTGCATGAGAGAAGGGGGTGGGTTAAGTCTGTATTTATATAGGGTTTTGAAGAGAGAGAGAGAGAGAATATATCAACTCATCAAGTTGCTAGAGATACGCCATAATGTCCTTGCATCTTGTGTTTTCCAAAATAATTTCCAAATTGGGCTTTGGATCTCTCAAGTGAATGTGAACTCTCTGCCCCTTCATGTGTGAGAGGTCAATCAAAAGACTCAACTCAAGAGAGAGAGAGCTAGAGGTGCACGAAATTAATCCAATCTACATCCCAATTTTTTTTTTTTTTTTTTTTTTTTTTTTTTTTTTTTTTTTTTTTTTTTTTTTTTTTTTTTGTTTAGTGTGAAAAATAGAAAATGTAGAGAAAAAAAAACATATATATAAATATATCTCAGAGTGTGTTTGGATGGGATCAGTTTTTACGGTGTGTGAGTGTGATTGAGGAACAGCCAAATGTAGGGCTACGTGAGGAAGGGTCCAAGTGTTGACCAGTCAAAGTGATGAACACACCATGTTCTTGCTCCAGGCAGATGACATATCGCCACGTGTCATCACTGAAACCTAAGAGTTACACCGACTCGGCTCCTGGGCGCATTGTGATTCAATGATCAGTTTTTATATGTTAATGTTATATATATAGTCATATTTTATAATAAAAATTTGTGGTGAGATCACACTCTGCACTGAGGCCACTGATCTCCTAGCTATAGTTGATGCAAAAATATGCCAAGTTAAGCGACCAATTATGTTCATACTACAATTTCAGAGCTCGTTTACCGTAGAATTGGATTGGATTGGAAAAGTTATTAAGTCTAATATATATTAAAAAAGGAAATTAAAGTAAAGGTGAATGATTGATATTTCGCGGGAATTAAGATGGATAACTTATAAGGTGTTGATATAGGGAGTTATCTTATCCAATCCAATCCTAAGCATCAAACGAGCCCTCAAGTTTCAAGTTTCTAGTTATTGAATTGATCTCTCTTTCTTCTTTTTTCTTCTAATATTGGTATAATTTCATTTCTTTGCAAAAACAAACTTGTTCAAGCAACAATTACTGTTGTAACCATAAATATGAAATCAATTTTGTTGTATAATATAGTATCTAATGATTTTTGATGATCTTGCTGATGATGACATGCTGTTCTAGTCACTTGCTGTGGAATCTTAATTTAATTATATATTCATATATATAGTACATCCATAACCAAACAAATAATACAGTTTGATGAGAGAAAAAAGATCTAGCTAATTCATAGTAATTTTTGAATATTATATATTTATATATACAAGATGAACATGATTTTCCAGAGCACGTGCTTGTCATGATCCAGTCCAATTAAGTATACATAAAAAAATTTTGTAAAATAAATAGATTTATTATTTATTGTGTATAAATATAAAATATATATGAAACTTGGGAAGACTTTGATCTTATTGGCCATCAACATGGATGGTCCTGATCCTTTGTACACTGAAAAAAAAAATTCTCTAAATTAATGAAACGTATCATGTCACAAAAATTGGTTCCTGCAGGGTCTGTTTGACCAACGATAGTATATATGCAGAGGCATTTAAAAACCCTGATAGTAGTGGTCCCTCGTACAATTTTTTACTCTAGAAGATTACAGAATAGTTTCCAAATGGAGTTCATTTGAGGAACTAGTAGTTAATTACATTTTGCATAAGTTAGTTAATTAACTACAACTCTAAATTAATGATCACAAACCTCTTTTAATTTGTGAAATGGAAAACTCCAAGTAATGCCTTTTGATTACTTTAGAAAACCTCGTTGTTATATGCTACCGATACACTTGTGGTCTGTATTCATGTTAGTCACAGACTACCTATGATCAAAGGGTGTTGACTAGGTAAATGTCTTAATTTGCCGTCCCTTTTTCTAATAGTGTGTTTTGTTTATCGAGGCTTAAGAATTGAGGGGTACACAAAGTCGAACTATCAACGTTAAGAGAGGAGGATGAGAGTTGAACTTTGAAACTCCTCCGAAACTCACTAAAATGCAAATTAAAAATCAACTTTTTCACGTGAGTTGAACTTAATTAGATGTAAAACTAAGCAAATTTATCGGCATCCATGTTTGTCCACCAAACAAAACTCCTGAAGTATCTAAATAAAGATATGACAAAAAGGGAATATATAAATATCGAGACAGAAAGAAGCAAACAGCAATGATCGATGCAGCTGCTTGATTAAATGATTAAAGTTTAGGTACAAGTTTTATAATATATGCTTGGTGGGAATTTAAACCAGTGAAGAGGGGGCCAGGGGGCTCAGCGTGCATCTCGCAGGCACATGACCTTGAGATCCAATGGACAGCGAGGACTGCGATTCCAATGGGCTGGTTTTTCCAGATTGAGCTTAGAAAGAGTTCAGTTTTTGAGACTCCAAGAAAGATATATAACGATACACTTACTCTACTCTCTCTCTCTCTCTCTCTCTCTCTCTCTCTCAGCATATGCTTTGTAGTCTGGACTCTGTACAATCTCATATTATTATATTATTATTAACATAATTTAAACACATTTATCTGCAAGCGAGCTTCATGTTGATGTACTTTTTCATGCACGTATTATTTAATTCACTTAGATAATACATTATATTAATTCATCAAAGTCTCACTCTCCAATTAGGTCGGTGAGATGAGCTTAAAATATGTATGTGTTTAAGGCTAGCTAGCTAAATGATCAGCTTTAACTGTCCAAGTTAACTGATTAACTTACCGACCAGATGCTTTTAACGATATAATTAATTAACAATTAGTAAATTAGTACGTGTGATTAGCAAAGCACATTCTACATATATATCTATGCTAATTGGCAAGTGAGCACATATATTATATATAAACCTTAATTTGCTAATTGTCCATGTATACGTCAACCGACAGTATACCATCTTAGAACTATCGTAATTCATGATGTCATAACAGTATAATATGTCATGCTAAAATAGACTTATTGTTATTCACAACGCTAGAGTATTATATATATATATATATATATATATGTATCTCAACTACAAATAATGGAAATCTTGAGAGATTCTTATTATCTTTGATCAACCGTGAGGATGATGAGATGAATTTTACTTTAGTTCCAACGTTAATTAGCTAATAAATTGAAGAGATCTATGAATAAGTAATCGACGTCTTTGCGTATAATGAAGAGATTCAAGATTTAGTGAAGAGACTTCTTGACGGATAATATCTACAACCTACTAACAACATTTACCCATTTCATTATGTTTGGCATTGCTTGGTTTTCTAACTTGAATATTGTTACATGTTCTGATCTCACATGATCGAGAGTTTTTTTTTTAAGGATCTTTCTTATTGAAATGGACGATAATACATTAAACTCACACACACAATACGGATGTTGTGACTCGTAGAACCTTGCCTGAGGGAGCAATTATTCCAAATCACTATACTAGTAATGAGTCCTTTGCACATGATTGAGAGTTTAATAGTAGAACTAAACATCAAATAAATTAGGACTTCATAGATCTAGGTTCATTTTCATAAAGATGTAATGGATGTAGTTTACATGCTCTCCCTTTCAACTATAGTCTAGCAATCATGTCTCGCCAAATACATAATCAATGTGTCCACAATTTTAAATTAATTTACAGTATATACTACTATCAGAAATATGGATATGATATGAAGTTTTACTAGATGCATGGTAATATGGATATGAAAAGAAGAGGTTAGAGGGAAGAGTTGAAAAACAGTTGCACGTGTAGGACTTAATTAAAAGAAGCATCTTCTCTTATTTCCATGCATTGAGGGAAGAAAACAATTATGTTCTATTATAATAATCATAATCAAATACCCACATACAAACAAAAGTCTAGACCATTTTAAGTGACTAGGTCTTATTGAAGCCACTCACTTATTGTTGGTGTTTCAATTTGTTTACGTTTTGTATGAAAATCCTCCTAGGGTTTTGCATAAGGAATTAAATTCTGCTAGCTAGGTATAGACCAGGATAAACTAGTTTTTCGTTTTTTTAAATAATAGAAAAAATCAAGATACTTGATTTCATCTCTTTTAGTTTTTGTTAGGAGTTAAGTTTTGCTCAATTGGATTATACATTAAACAACTTAAACAAATTTTCTCATACAGATGTCCGAACGTTATTATCGTGCAGACGCTATGTATCGGTATATATGATGTAACTATTGCAAATTTAATTAGAACTTTAGCATAACTACAATATATTGAACCTTTTAAACAGGTATCTTAATTAGAATTTTATCAGTAACTATAAAAAATTAAACCATATATATATCAGACTGATTACAAAACTAAACGTGTCCCGTAGGATTTAATAAACCCTAGGTAGCCAGCAGTATATATATGCCAGAGGATCTGCAAGCAAACTAGTTTGATCTCTGCAAAATATATACAAACTCAACAGTTTATTGCAACTTGACATTGTAAATTTGCAAAAATGCATGTTGACAACATACTTAACATTCTGACAGACCAACGTGATCAGTGGCTCTTCTGAATCTCGTTTATAAATGCATATGCTTTCCTCATCAGTTTGTGAGTGTGAGAACCTACTGGAATGATTCGTACATGGAAACATTTATATTTCCAAGTAATTACTACCATGAGTGATGATTTTGTGCTACAGAAT